TGCATGGTGTGTGGAAAATATTTTAAACAGCTTAGCCACCTTAACACACATATGTTGACACATGATAACATTAAACCACACGTTTGTACTATTTGTGGGAAGGAGTTTACACAAATTAGTCATCTCAAAAGACACCAGACTGTACATCTAGAAAGTAGGCCTTATATTTGTGATATTTGTGGAAGGGGCTTTGCTTACCCAAGTGAGTTACGGACTCATAAAGAAAAACATAACTCTGAAAGGGAGAAGTGTGAAGAATGTGATGAAGAATTTGATACGGTTAAGGCTTTGAAACTTCATTTAGTGCTTCATGAAAAAAGAGAAGAACTTATCTGTAAATATTGTGGGAAAGTCTTTAGGTATCCTAGTCAGCTGAAAGATCATATGATCACACATGAAGGTTCAAGACCTTATATTTGTACAGAGTGTGGCATGGATTTTATGAAGGTAATTAATAAGTGGGAAGAAAAGAGGATTAAAAACTATGCAATGAAACTAAATCGATAAAAAAATTTCTCATCATTTGTTTATTGTTGATTGTGGAACTTTGCTAGTTTTTACTGATTCTGGATCATATACCTTGACATGATGTGAAGAGACATGTCTATTATATATTGAAGGCTGTATGTTGATAGTGACAGTTGACATTAAGATGTCTTTAATTCATTTGATTTGTGTCATTAAGAGAATAAAGAAAAAAGAAAAATGTATAAATGTTCATGAAATAATACCGCAGTTCATAGAAAAAAATGAGACAGCTATCCACCAGAAACCAAAGGACAAGAATGAGCAACCAATTAAAAGGCATTGTGCGACCTTCAACAATGAGCAAAACCAATACTGCTATAAGCAATGAAAGACTCTGAGGATATCTGCTTTATAAAACAATTGATTTGTCTACCACATTCATATGTAATGGACTTGTACCATTCGTTTATTGTTTGGAATTTGATATACCCTTTACTACATATACATTCATGAGAACAAATCGTTGATTTGTGTGTATAAATATAAATCTGTGTACATGTATATGCTATTTTTTTTAGGAGCATCATTTAAAGGCTCATCAGTTCACTCACTCTGGACAGAAACCATTTTCCTGTGATATATGTGGTAGATCATTCAACCAGAAAGCTAACATGATGCGGCATGTATTAATTCATAATGCAACCAGAGCATTCAAGTGTGAAGTGTGTGGGAAAACATTTACTCAGCCACAAACCCTCAAAGCCCACCAAGTGGTTCACAGTAAAACTAAGCCTTTCCAGTGTAAATTTTGTGGTAATGACGTTTTTTTTTATCATTGAAATATATACACATGTCTATGCCATGTATGTTTTTTTCAAATGTCTGATAATTTTCAGTTGAAAAAACTCTGAAAATCACACAATACATGTATTCATCTTGTGCATGTGAAAGTTTAAATTATTTGTATACAGAATTCATGATTAATCAAAACAAAAACTTGAACACTTAGTGAATGCATACCTACCAAAATCTGTAAACTCTAGTTAAAACTATAGACCAGTATTTTTTTATATCATAATAAAATGAAACAAATGCAAATACAAGTTATTTATATAATAATTTAAGTTTGTTCAAACTTTATTATTAATATTTTTTTTTTTTTTTTTTTTTTATTTTTACACTGCTGGACATGAGGAAGGAAGGAAAAAAAAAATACTCAAGAGTACTTTTAATGTATTTTTGTTATTAATACTATTTTCATTGTCTATTATAATATCTGTCACATTATATACTGTACAATGTCTCATGTTTGTTGCTTATACTATCATAATTGTTAATTGTAAATGCCCCCTGTGGGACCCTGATTGGAATAATAAAATATTTGATTTGATTTGATTTTATATTACATGTACTGATACAAAAAATTCAATTTACAGAAATGTCTGAGAATGTCATACAAAGTTTGTTATAGGCTGTCTGTGGTAGGACATTTTATCAAACAGCGCCCTCTAACATCAATTCATATTGGCACTGTCGTTTTACAATGTTTTAAACAAATTGTGTTTCCTTTAAAATTGTTATTTTTGCCTGATTGTCCATCCATAGTTTTGAAGTAAGCATATATTTTATATTCAGTAAAAGCAGCATTATAGTATACTCAAGACCTTGAGTTGTTTTCTGCTCTTTGGTCAAGTTGTTGTCTCTTTGACACATTCCCCGTTTCCATTCTCAATTTTATCAATATTCATTGTTTTCCTTTTACATAACATTGTCAATTTTAAACACTTTTATGATTCATTTTCCTTAAGTGAGCATATTTATTGTATTTTGTACAGGGAAACAGTTTGGCAGGTTACATAACTTACAAGGACATCTTCATATGCACAATGACACAAAACCTTACTCCTGCTTTTGTGGAAGTACATTTACTCTCAAAGGTAATTATTGCTAGCTTTACTTCTAAAGGAAGAACTTTTATGGTTAATAGAGAGTGGATTACAGGATTACTTTTAATGTAATCTTATAAAAAATACTTTATTTATGTGCCTGTCCCAAATCTGGAATCTTATGTTTTTAAAGGGGTTATTATAATTTAATATAACATTTTCTTAAAATTACAAAAAATTTAGAGCTTGACCAATTGCATTAACACCTATGAAGTGTTATGACTGTATGTTGACTTGTGTAGCTGTCTCATGGACGTATACCTCAAATTAAAAAAAAAATCTACTATAAGATAGTAAGTACGCAAATGATTTTATTTGAGTGAAATAAATTTAGTATTCAGTATTTGCTCTGATACTTGTGCACACTGTGTTTTTAGTTTCAATCTTAGAATTACTAAAGTCTACTGTAGTAAAAATTAATGAAAATTCACTCAGAATAAATCAACATTCTGCTTCTATCAAAATTTTTGGCAATCTGCATGTCACATTGTAATTTTAAGAACATAACAGGTTTGATGAAAAAGGTTCTATGATCAATTCTTGATGTGTTAAGCAATATGCCTAAACAAATTTGATGTTTCCAGGATTATTCTCTGATTTTTTAATGGAAAACAGCTGACATTTTAACGAGATTTATCATTTATATTACAGGATATAGTGATTGATTTGTTCAAATCTTTTGTTTTTAAGGCAATTTAAACAGACACAAGAAGGTTAAACATGGACTGGATGAGTCAACGGAGGACATGGAAGAGCAGGCGGTTAATTTCCTGAACGAGATGTCATCTGGACGAGTACACAATGAAATGGACGATTGTAGTAGTGTTGAACAAGTATTGTCTTCTCCTGATTCTAAATCACCAAGGAAAGGAAGAAAATCAGTTCCTAGAAAACTTCTTCAAGGTCAAGGTGTCGGTCTGCTGGAAGAATCTGATGAAAATACTCTAAATAATGATGAACAATTTTCAAAATATTTCTATAATACACTTGTTGATGAAAGCGAATTTGACAAAAATGAAAATTTTGATCAGGAATCTGTTTCCTTGGAAACAGGTATAGGTTTAGGTATAGAAACATCACCTGTTTCAAAATCAGTAAGAAAACGTAAAAAACCAGAGCGGGTATTTAATATGGATGCTTTTGATGACAACCATTTTGATGACATGTCAGATGAAGACGGGGAAGAATTAGAAAATGAAGATATTCCCAATAAGAAAATAAAAGTTAATTCTAAAGGTACAAAATTGGATTCTATCCTTAAAGAAAAATTTAGCAAATAAAATTTTACAAGTGATTAATTATGTTATGACCTCTTAAGTTAGTAAATTGATAAACATATATATAAACCAGATTCAGCAACTAGCAGAAACAATCATCATCCAACTATTTGTGAAAATATATAATTTAAAGAAAATGTTTCTATGGTAATTTATTTCATCTTTAGAGATAAATTTAATGTGACCGCAAGTCAACAGTGTCAGTTTTATTTAAATGATTCAATGATCTGACCTTGTTTTATTTACATTAATTATAGAATAACTAATAGAAGAATTCAAATAGAGAAAAATATTCAACGAGTGACTGAACAACCAATTAATTCACGAATGCGCATAGCGCATGAGTTAATTATCAGTGTTGTTCGGTCACGAGTTGAATATTTTTCGATATTTGAATTCTTTGATTAGTTATTCTTTTTATTACATTGGCAAATGGCTTTTTTTAATGACATTAATGTAGAAAATGTAAGGAACTATATCTTTTTTCTACGCATTCACAATTTGTTTTGATCCGACGTTATCGACGTCTTGACAACACCTATTGTTGTATGACGTCAGAGAGTGAAATAACCACGTTTATTTCACATGTGAAATTATCGGTTTTTATTTGACTGGGAAATCAATGTAATTCATTGCTACCAATGTAATAAATTGATTTATCTGACATACAATCATGATAATGCAATGCATTGGATTGCTTGAAATAGGGAAATCAAATCTCACATACATGGCAAAACTTTGATAGGTTTAGAATTAAATAATTGTATTCAAGGATGAGAAATTTATTAAAACTAATCCATAACATTAATAGTCAGGACTATGCTACTGGACAGCAAACAAATGAGGATATGCTTACCTTTTATAAAATGAGAGCAGCTTATGTATGCTTTATATACCAGAAACATATATTATTATTACATTAATTCTTAGTTAACTTTGCATCAACAAGTTTTATAAACAGTCTATGTGACATATCATCATCTAAATATTTTATCAAAATAAAGGCATTTACTTCATTTGGTCTCTGACGGATAGTTGTCTCATTGGCAATCATACCACATCTCTTTATTTTTATATCAAGTTGTAATAAATTGTACTATTTTGGTAAAAAACTTGCATTCATTAATCTTGTGTCAAAGATTTGGTATTAATGAATTTCCCTTTAATAATGTTCCACAAAATACTTCAACAGAAGCTTGAATTAAATTTAGAGTCCTGAAAACATTTTTGTTGACACTCATCTACTAAAAACAAATTACTCGAAATTTAACCATTTTTTCTATGAATTTACAATTTTTTTTTGTCTCTGGCTTGCTTTTTGCTATGAAACAAAAGGATTGATGGCTATAAGAAAATCTTCTTTAGAACCAAATATTGACCTAATCCTGCACAATCCCATAAATGGTAATTTCAAAAAGAATTTTGACCAATAGAAACACATAAATGGCAAAAAAAGGAAGTGACATTATCTTTTAAGGTATAAAATGTAGAACAGAATCCATTTTCAACAGTATTTTTATGTTTTATGTTTTAGTTTTGAGAACTCAGCTGGTTTGAAACCTTATTTATTTGTGTATACCTAGATGTGAACATGGGTCTCTTGTATGTTGAGTCCTCCTGTGTAGACATGTACATGTACTGTTAAGTTGGATTAGACAGAGGGGACCCTGATTCCCACTTTCCCTACCCCCCTAACTCTTACTTCCCTCCCCATACTCCCACTTCCCTCCTCTTTACTCCCAAGATGAAAATCGGTCAAAACTTTTTTTCTAGCATATCCCTTTTTTTTACTCCCCTTTGCCACCGCTTCCTGCCCCCTGACTCCCCCTTCCCTTCCCCCTGACTCTGGCTTCCAGCCCCCTCATTCCCATGTTCCCTTACTCCTGTTCATCCCCTCTGTTAAGTTACTTATTGTGTATACCGAGACATATACATGTAATGTTAAGTTACTTATTGTGTATACCTAGACATGTCCATGTACTGTTAAGTTACTTATTTGTGTATACCTAGACATGCACGGGGGTCTCTTTTATGTTGATCCCCCATGTGTAGACATGTATATGTACTATTATGTGACTGTGTTGTTTGAAGTCTGTACTATGTACAGATTTGTGATAATTGTTTTAAGTTATGTTAGTTGTGGTACATATAATATTTAGAAACATAATTTTGAATTTCTAGTTATTTATGATTTATAACTGCTGCTGTCTTGGGTTCACATAAAAATGTTATGATTATTTGTCTTGTTTCAGATATAAGAATATATATTCTCAAAAACAAACACCATACAATCAGAAAAGTGTGTTGATGATATTTGGCATTGTCAATTTTTGGCCATTTATTTTTGAAATCTGGGAAATGGTCATTTGGAAATCAAAGTTTCTAGCATTGTATGGTCATGTAAAAAGCTGAATAACTACAAATTCATTCAGAATTCCTCAAATTATCAACTTTAATGTGTTACTGGTAAATGGATACCAAACTAGAGCGTTTGCCATTATCTGTGTTAAAGGTGTACATGGTTTACTCTTACGTCTCCTCAACTCCATGGAATTGTACAGAGACCAAGAAAGTGGTATTAAATTATCAAATAAAAGTGCTAATAATCAATATTTAAATTTTTCAAAATGAAAACTAAGTGTTATATTCCATTGTATTTTTTCTCTGTCCCTTCTGTGAAGAAAATCCAAAGCAAGACATAAGTGTACTGTTTAAGATGATAGCACTTGTGATTAGGTCACACAGACTAAGACATTGGTGGCCTTCGGCTGTTGTGTGCTCTTTGGTCGGGTTGTTGTCTCTTTGACATATTCCCTATTTCCATTCTCAATTTTATATAAATATATCTCAGAAGTATTGAATCACAATTACATATTTCCTTAATTCGTCTCCTTATATTAGTTATTACTAGAATGGCCATTATAAACCATTGTCTTTCAATGATAGCATTTATTTGTTTTGATTTTGTTGTTTACAATTTATATGTAAGTACGAGTGTACACTGTAAATTTTATTTGAAGTATTTTTGTTTTTTACTTGATTTTGTTGAATCATTCCTACAATTATTTGAATACAGCATTTGTAACTTAAATATTAAAATCTACATCTGAAGCATTTTGTTTTTAATTATTAATTTTTACTTTGAGTGGCGTTTTTCATAGAAAGATTTAAGTAATAGAAAAACAAAGGATATGGGGTATCCATCCATGACACAAAATCGGTACATACACAGCAAAAAAAACCACAAAAGCAAAGGAACAGCGCTTTTATTGCTGTTCTTCATCTCAAAGTCACTGTGAGGCCCTTCAACATAGAGCAAAAAAAGACCAAAAACCTCTCACCTCACAGTTTAAGATGGTCCCCAGCACCAGTTTGAGAAGAATTAAACAATTTTTGTAGATGGTTTGTATCTAACTTTATGTTTCTATTGTCTTTCACTTTTATAAAAATAAAATTTGATGATACTCCAAGAAGGCAATGTGCAGTGGGTTTGTTGGTATGTGATAGACGGAGATTAACATACCACCTTGGTTGTCTCGTTCTCACTACAGGAGGTCATGAATTCAATCCCCAGCTTGGTCAAAACAAAGACTTGAAAATTGGTATTTGCTGCTTCTCTGCCAAGCACAAATCATTTAGAAGTAGGGTAAGAGCAAATACAGTTTGGTAGAGTTGCATTCACAAGGTGTCATTGTTACTAAACTAAAAAATGTTGCAAGTGATGCAGGGGACAAAAATGGAGGTCAAGTTTGAAATTGACAAATTTATCTTTTGTTCAGGAATTCTGGCCCTTAACCTGACTTGTCAGTTTGACAGCCATGTTTATTTTATCCAACCTTGCATAATAAAACAAGTTCTGGTCAAAAATAGGTCAGACATCTTACATTTGATCATTTACAAAAAGTATATATTGAAGGGATTGTTGTATATTTAATGCCTAGCAGGTTACAGTTATACATTTCTTCTACAAGACCAACATGCTGAGCCAGATTTTTATCATGTTAGCTCAAAAAATTAAAAGTCTATAAGAAAACATCGTATTTAAACACCTTCTGAATTCGAGCCAACCAGACTTTGTTCTATTTTCATATAACTACAGACTTTGTTGAGAAACAACAAGTACTGATGTCATGGTTTGGTTTAGCTGGGCTTGTACCTGCTCTCAAATTGGCACAATTTACAAAAAGACGAACAGAGGTTATTTTTTTGCATCAGAAAACAGAAAGTAGATGTCTGACTGATATGATAAGTGCACACAAGTTACAACCAATTACTGTTGAGCTGCAGATTAAATATGATAATAATAAGTAGTTACTGAGAAAGTATGACAAATATATATTTTTTGGACAAATGGACAGACTGACGGACAAGGTGCACTTTTAGAGTGATGGTATACTTGTTGGATTCATTTATTTTTTCATGAATCTTGAGAAAAATTATATTTTTATGGAAACTTGGTTTTGTGGATTTGCCAAAGTTTCTGTACAATCCTATGGGAAATCCATACTTTGTTGAACATTTAAACAAATCCATGAAAATTGGTATCCAACGAATAATAATGAATCCACAGTAATTTGCAGGGAAGTTGGCTTAAAAAAATATGAAAAATATGGTAAGAAGATAAAATTTTAATCATTACATTTGAAAAAAGTTTTTAAGTAAGATCTATGATACAATGGTTTTACATAATAAAGATTTTCTTGTAATGCTTTGTTTTACACAACAACTTCTAAAAAATGTTCACATATCACATAACAGTTGAGGAAGAAACAACAATATAAGGGGACATAACTCCAAAATATGTACAGGTCAAAATTTAAAGAATCATAACATTACTCTTCATTTTTTCAACAAATGTACAAAAACAATACAATTTGAGACAACAAAAGTATCAATCAATTAGTTTATAACAAAAGTAGATGTATGATTTTATATATACCATTTGGTCTGGTGTTTCTGATAATGGTTTTGGTACTGTGGTTGGGTTTGAAATATTGTAGACAGTTGGTACTTTGACAAGCTGCTTGGAAATAAAACTGTTGACAGCAAATGGTTAATCTGACAAATTTAATTGTTAAGCAAACATGAGCTTCTTTTTAAGGAATGAAACTCTAAATTTCAAACCTTTGTTTCATAATATTATGATATCTTAACAGTTGTGAAAGAAATTTGAAAGTGCAACAAAGGTTTCAAGGAACCTATGTCCGAATTGATTAAAAGAATGGTTGTTCAACATGTCCACGAAGGGTGACAAATATAGTAATATAAATTGTAAAGTTATCTACAGCACTAGAGTACTTTGGGATAAAAATGGTCATTGTGACAATAGAAGTTCTCTTGAAAAGATACACAATGACCGGTTTTTCATCCTCTTTATCTTTTAAACAAACTCTTAATTATAGTACAAAAATGAGTAGTACTTGTTGTAACACACAACCTACCTGTTATGGATAAAGTCACATATGAAGTATACAAGAAGGTATTTAAAAATCCTACCAAATTGTCGTAGCATTTTTTACCTTAAAACTAGTTAATGGTCTTGAATATAGAACAAAAGATATTTCTATTCTGCTGAAGAATTATGGAATTCTGAAAACATGTAACATCACCAATTCTGTTAAACTCAACATTTAATTTGAACTTGTAGGCAAAAATGGGTAAAAATCCATATTCAAAGGTAAAAACTTCCTTAAGGAATTGATTGACAATCACCATTATGTTTACTTATTTCTAGATCCCATATTGCTGATCATTTGCTTTTATTACAGTACCTAGCTAGCCTTTAGTTTTTCATAAAATTGTCTTAAAACACAAAAAAAAGGTAAAATTTTACAATTTATTACAGTTTACAAACTAGGAGCATTCAGGTAAAGTTTGGTAACATTTAGACCTAGTTTTGGGAAGATTAAAAAAAGTTAAAGCTGGAGGAAGACAACAACAGACATCTGGTGATGGCAAAAGCTCACATGTCAGCTGAGCTTTAAAAAGTAATACAACATTCTTTAAATGAAATCAATACTTCTACCATTACAGAGAATATACATATAGAATAGTTACTAGTAGAGAGTTTCAGTTCTTAAATAGAAGTACATAATTCTCAACACAGAAATAAAGAAAATCAACAAATTTTCTTGGCTAAACACATCTTCAGCTGCCAAAAAGGGCTATAAAGTTTCTTACAAAAACACACTCACCATAACTACAAATGTAGCTAATATACATCTGAGGAAACACATAAAACCCATCACTTTTTTACTTCTATTTGGACAAACATAATTCATTACAATAAGATTTAATTCAGTCAATGAAACTTATATAGTTCCTCTGAAAGTCTTAATCTGAATCTGTAAGACTTCTGGCAAAAGAAAGAGCAAAATTAACAACACTGGAATATCTAGTTTAAGTTTTCGTCAATTTTCTTTGTTCACAAAAGCTCATTACTTAATAATTAAGCATTAAATACATGGAGTTATTCATATTTGTACATCAAATTACAAATGACAGATTATCATAAACTGTTCTTAATGAAATGTTTATTTGTACATTACCAAAAAACAATAAAGGGAGACAACAATAGTACTATAAAATATTGCACATAATTTTAAACAAAATGTATGTAAATTGATTTGTTTTAAAACAAAATATGCTAAATGTTTTTAAAATACAATAAAAACAATAAAAATAAATCATGTATTAAAGTGTAAAGCAAGAATAGAATATTCATTTGGTAAAATATTTGGGTTGCAACAAAAACTTAAAACAAATATAAAAAATTTCAAAACTTGCAGAAATTAAAATTTCTTCTAACTTTTTAAAATGATTAATGGTTTTGTGAGAGGTGTTTATGAAATCAATTCATATATTTAAAAAATAACACATTTTCCATATAAAAAAAACTGCTTCATACATCAATTAAAGTAAAAATCTTATAAATGTTTTTTGATAAGTTTTTGAAATCTTCCTCGAAAGACTAGTTTTCTGACAGGTAGGTCAAATCTTCAACTTCTGTGGAAAAAATTCTCCCTCTTTCCCCATTTTTTATTAAATGTAGTTGTTAGGCTTGTAAAAATAGACAAATTTTAATCAAAAAATTGTGTTAACATGGTATAGAATGCCCAATCTGTCTTTCAATTTAGTAATTCATTATTGATTTAATTTTTTTTTAATGCTGATTTCAAACATACTTAAACAAGAATGTGTTCATAGTACACGGATGCCCCACTCGCACTATCATTTTCCATGTTCAGTAGACCATGAAATTGGGGTCAAAACTCTAATTTGGCATTAAAATTAGAAAGATCTTTTCATAGGGAACATGTGTACTAAGTTTCAACTTGATTGGACATCAACTTCATCAAAAACTACCTTGACCTGAAACAGACAGCAAATGGACCAATGAACGGATGCACAGACCGAAAAACATAATGCCACTAGGTGGGGCATAAAAATTCATAATTCAACTAGAAAATGTAGAATGAAATATTTCAAAAATATGTGACATAGGTTTTACAACAAATTTCCCCAGAGGGGGTTATCTCCCTTCATTAAAAACAAAATTTATTAATTTATATTCATAAAAAAAATGTCTCAAGCCCTTTCAGCATTTTTTTTCAAAAATAAAGAAGGTCTTCCCTCCCTAAAAAGTTTTGAAAAGATGACATCTTTGACATAGATTGCAGGGTTTGTACAATACGTTTTGTGTACATTGCCAGCTTGGAAAGCAATTGTGTATGTGTGTGATTCATCTACACTGATGCGACGATGGCGGCTTACAAATCATTACTAGAAATTCAATAAAAGGTATGTATACTCCAGTTATTATACAGAAGTTTTTGTGGATTTTTTTCTTTCTTACCAGTAAATGTACCATCTTGACATTGATAGTAGTCCAAAGTTTATCTAATAAAAGTGTATATAAATGGTCACATCATTTTACATTGATACATGATTGACATACAAGTAATTGAAGGTATATAACTTGAATTTTCCAACAATAATGTACGACCAACAATCATTCAGCAAAACAAAACTTTAAAATCAATTCACTGGAGAAGACAATGAAATAAAAGGAAGTAGGTTGCATTGACCTAATTCTTATAGCAAATCTATGTGCAAATTTTATATGATCCTACATTTTACAGGTATTTGAAGAAGAAATTAATTGGATTTAACTAAAAAAGGTTTTGAAAATAGTCTAAATGCTGACAGTATGTATGATGTAAAACTTTATCTTATATATGCATCACTTTGGAACTGTTTAGTCCCTCAGGTGTAAATAATAGGTTATGACGACCTACTTTCCACATGGGATACACTTCTATTACGATACATTTAATTATGAAAGATGTTCTTGTGATTAATAGACCTGAGATTTGAGTCCTGATGTGCATGGACACAACAGGTACTCTTTTAATCACTGAAAAGTCAAATCATTTCTCAAAATATAAAAAATATATATAAATCAAAACATAAATTTAAACAAAATACTTTCAATAAAAACAAATAAATAAATATCACAATTTTCTCCCAACATAAAACAATAAGTCAAATCAAATCATGTGCACTCAGGTTTCTTTCTAATAACAGAGATAAAATAGATGATTGTTTTTTTCTATCTCTCATTTTTCTAAATGTTAATACTTATCATACAGCAGTTTCCTTGGTGATACTGGCATCTTATGTCTCTAATTAATACTGAGCATAAACACATGAGCTTAAATTTTTTTGTCGGTTTTAACAATAAAAATTAAAAATCATAACATTTTTTTATTCACAAAAAGTAGCTGATTTCAAAGGAGTACATTGTAGAACTGCACTATACAATGTAAAATACTACCATATTTGGGTATCCAGTGGAGTGGATAGTAGCATGTTTACCTTAAGCATGGCTAAGAACTTTAAATTTTATTTCATAGTAGCAGTGGGTGGTAACATATTTTGTTGCTTGAAGCTCAATATTCACTTTGTTTTATTCAAATTGGTGAAAAAAGCGAATTGTCTATTTCATTTCACTTTCTTCCTTACAAAACACCTACCTTTAGGACCCTCTTATCATTTGCCAAAAACATGAATCACACAAAATACAGGCTTGACGTTGGATACTCAAAACAACACATGCGAGCAACTACACCTATTTCTATGAATGAATATAGACGTATCAGAATCAAAAGTATGATTTTTCTTAATCATTATCATGTTTAACACTACATCGATAAACCATTAAATCTTATTTTGTCATCTGACAAACTAATTTCTCTTCCTTTCTGACACTGATTAAATCATCAGATTTAGTATGACTTAAAAAAAAAGCATGTTAGATACTCAGCTTATCAGCTGGTACATTGAAACTTGAATGACTTGATCCAAATCTGTGCTTGGTTCTGCCTGTGCAAATGTAAAAGCAATTGCTTCCATCTTTAGCTCTGTCAAAGGTATAATCTGATGTAAGATTAAACACACTGTAAGCTATTCTTCACTAGTTATACATATATGCACATCTGAAAGTTAAATGTGAATCTTAATTTAATAATAAAAAAAATGTGACCAATATCTTTTAACTTTGTTAATCAGTGGAGACAGCTGATTGACCAACATAATTTACATATTAAAGAAAATACACTAATTAGCATAATTATACAAAAAAAATAAAAATTGGTATGCTCACATTTTTTGGGGTTAAAAATGTCCAAATATTAATCAATTTCTACCTTCATAAACCATTTTCCATTTCTTATCCATTGGAGAATAAATCCAAGAACTGAGTAATACACATTCTCTGTTAGAATACTGGCACTTATTTCAAACTTAAAGGAAAAGATATGATATCAAATTTCAAATAAGAAAAAAAAGTCACATGTGTTAAGTACTTCAAAACTTTGTCCAAGTATGAAAATGAGTTATTCAGTTGTGTTAACCACTTTTTCTGATTTTAATTCACCAATTTTCTAGATTTGGTAAAATTTCTGCCATTTACCAGGTTTTTTCAGAAATATTTTTTGACTTCAAAAAATTTGAATCCTTCTTTTTAAGGCTGGAAAATTTATCTTTAGATTCTCATCTCAAGAATGCTTTACCCTAGAATCTATTCAAATTTCTGATTTTATTTTTTTCTCAAAATTTCTTGGATGGTCTGACAAATATCTTGATTTAGAATCTCCCAAATATACTTATACTTTAATTTCATGTAAATTGTAATATGAATCATAACAATCAAATGTATTGTATCTAAATTTAACGTTATGTTGGTGCTTTTTAGATCTTTTCTCTTTATCTTAGGTTTAGCATTAAAAACAATGAATAATATGTCATTTCTCAATGTAACCTTTATGATTTATGGTTTCTGGGTATAATTTAATGGTAAGGTTTATAGCCCTTTGCCTATGAACTGTCTCATTTCTTTTAGTATGAAAGGATGAACTACTATATATCAATTCTTTAAGCTAAAAAGTTATTAAGAAAACTTGCTTGTCCCTAAATACTATTTAATTTACTGAAATATTGGTAGTTTTGGCACAAACAATGGGAAATTATAAATGTTTATAACATAGCAACATTATAAACAACTAACAAGCAAACACACAAACACTGTACAATGAGAAGAAATAACAATGAGCAAAAATATCTCAATAATTCACAACCATATTTTATTAACCTAACAATTGAAAAGTTGCAGAGGTGACCTTCAAAGTTAGAGTGGAGTTCTGGCTGTAAAAATCTTCTTTTTTTTTTAAAGGGTTCATTTTTCCAATAAAAATATAATTTTAAAGAAGAAAAAATACTTGAAGTTCATTAATAATTTTGACTTCTGAGATAATACTTATAAATTGAATGATTTAACAGTGAAAGGGTAGCTCCATTAAAACTCCTGTAGAACATGTAGAAATTGAAACCATTTTAATAAAGCCAGTTATTTTGCACAGAATCCTTCATAGTATGAAAAACTTTCAACTTATTAAGTTCTAAGAACCGCAAGTAGTCATGTATTTCAAAAATGGCACCATGACAGTTGTTCATAGATATTGCACAATAATATTGCACACTTGTTCAATAAAGCTGTTTGATTGCACTGAGATTTACATATATTGATGTTAAAATGCTATCACAGAAATAAAACAATTTTATAATAATTACATAAATCAGACCAAAATCTGTGTTCAAGTTTTACATATGATTACTTAACATTATCTAACAATTCACTTCCTGCTTCTAAAAATAGATGCACAGCGGAAAATTTGGATATGCCTCAAGACATGCATTAATTTTTTTAATATAACTAACAACTATATCATACTATAGCACAAGCTCAATACAACAACTTAGGTTGAATCTCTAAGAGTTTAAACATCCAAGAGAAACCCTAATTACAACAAAAATAATGAAACAGAATCGTAGAGTAGATGGTCCCAAAATACAATCATTTTTACCATGGAAGAGAGGAAAAAGATATCAATACACCAATACAATCTTAAAGTTAAACAAAAACAGATCTAAACATCTGGTGTGAATAGATCTGTAGTAACAACTGCTATAATCTGGACCGAAATGCTTTGTGTATTTAAAATTGGTCCAAACCCCATCTTCTATCACAATATATAAATAAATAAACAAATATAAATTGTCACTAACAGATAAGCTACAAGTACTTTACTGGAATGAGTAAATCTGAAATATTCCATCTTTAGAGTAGCAATTCTTGGATTTGTACCAATTCATCTGTTTTTGGATATCTGATATATTTCTTTTTCAGACACTACAGCATTAAGCCATTTAAATTCCAATGAAACAATAAATCAACAATCTGGATCAATGGAATGTTTTCACAAATCCACTTTTACATAATCACTTCAAGTTTCACATTGTCAATGTTGTATCCTGTGTTCTCTGAGATATATATGTTTATGATAAATCATATCTGATTATATACATATCTATGTATAAATTGTCCAAAATTCTGCTGTATAAAAATATTACAAGCACACGTAGTACAAAATTTAAGATAAAAAAAATCCTCCTGCAACCAAACAAACCTACTGAACTACAATCTCAAATCTCTCTTTAAAATATCTGTTCACTGAAAAAACTTAAATCTCCAAAGTCAAGTATTTGGATTCCAAACTAAAAACTTCACTCAAAAACTCTTCCTGACATGATGCTGTATCCTTCACTTTATTCCAGTTATTATGATGAATCTATGGTCATGATGGGGGCAGGGATACAGTTGATAAACGTGATTGCTTTGGTTCTATTTCTAATGAGTATTTGTAAGTTTGTTCATCATCAAGTAATCTAGCAGGATCTAGAAGATAGTTAGTCACCTGAAAAACAAAATCATAAGTCTCAGCTAAACTGAAATAAAAAGTATCAAACTTTACACAAATTGGAATAAATCTGTTTCCATTCAGCAAAGTTTTCCCACAATTAACATATCCCAGGAAGATATATTACTTCTTAAGGTGGATCATTGGTATATATTTCCTCAGATAGAATTTTCTTATACTATTTTACTATAAGAATTATCTCCCCTTAAATGGCTTAGTTGAAGAATTGATTCTAAAATACACAAATATTTAGTATCTGTTTAAAAATATTGGATAATGCAATAAATCACTTATTTTTCTTTATAAAAATAAAAAACAATCTTACACATAAATTGCAAATCTGTCTCAAAAGAGCGATTGTGTACTGCTATTGTACAATCCAAGATGGCGGTATACAATGAAGCACATTATTCAGACTAGGATCCCTTCAGTTGGCTTTTACTTCATAAATTCAGGGCTCAAAACTATTCACAATTTTTCAATTTAGTGTTTTTCTTGTCCTTACCTCTAATCTTTTTTAAAGATCAAATTTAGGTGATGGAATATTTTTGCCATTTTATCTTACTCATGAAACTAGTGAAAATAAACCCCTTGCAAAATTTTTCGACCTAACATCATAAACAATTGATTATTTACCCTTGGATGATGCTCTATCCTGTAAGGTGTCTGCTGAAATAGACGGATTTCTCGTATAACATGGGCAATCTGAAAACGTAAAACAAACATACATTTTCGTATATCCATGAGGGTGAAACAAACACTAAGTCATCTGACCTCTACAGAATGCAATATTTGAATAAAAAATAACAATTTAAATAAGCTTGCATATTAATATATCTATGTGGGTGTAATGAAAACTAATAACTTATGTATATATAAGTATCTTTACACCATAAAAGAGAGGCAAAAGATACCAAAGGGACATAACTGCATATGTTGTAATTGTATATATATATTTGTAGTACAATCAAACCTTTTTGAATATTTGAAACCAAATGTTTACAGGGAAATTTAATTGATTTACATTTCAGCTTTTCTTCAGTCCATGTACTTTTTCAGAGATAACTGCCTAGTTAAAAAACCTGCCATATGGCCCTTTAGTACCATAAATCTTTTGTTAAATAATTTTGCTTGAAGTGTCAGAAAATATTTATGAAGATCTCTTCGGAACTTATTCATTTCATATGTTTTCACCTTCAAATAAAGTCATCTGAATAATCAGAATAGTTTTCTTTATTTCCAAATGTGACCTTTTGACCTGTACTTACCATTCTCATTTTGGAGAAGTTGATAAGATTTTCCTCTGTATAATCTGGTGTACCTTCCTCTATAAATGATAAGTCAGTTAGATACATCCCTAGGTACGGTATGGTTGGTGGGTCACATCTGCTCAAAATATGTAATCACAGTTTTACTCATTATTGCAAACTAAGATGGCTGTTCTCAAACAATTTCTATTATTGTGGATAAATAATTGTTATTGGGTTACCAATTGTTAATTTCATGGGTATAGGGAAACTTCAAATTTAAATATTTAAAGAGTTATTTTTATAAGTTTGTAGGCAAAACCATGAAATCAAATATCCACAAAAATACAATTTTTTCGTCAATCCACAACAAATTGCATGGTAACCATTAAAATAAATGAATTCACAGTAAATAAGACTGCAATTGTCATATCATTTTTGTGTGGATATGTTAAATTTATTCATTACACTCCAGTCAACTTAGAGCTTGACATATTGAAGATGACCATATGTTGACGTCTAGGTCTATTGACTAGTGTGAAGTTTGGTTTTTGTCTCATTGATGAAGGTCCTTGATAGCCAGGTTGTATAAGTATACAGTGATCATTTCTGTGCATATGGTGTAAATGTTTTGAAATATAATTGATACAGTGATTTCATTTAAAACTTTTTGTCTCAATCCTTTCGTTAGTTTATCTGTAAATCAGCTGAATTCTTGTCAATTTGTTATTTTTACCTGTGTAGAGCATCTCTCATATTTTTAAATCTACCATCAGATGACACTAAAGTCTGTAATCTTTCTATCATTTGCTTGGTCTAGAACGATATAATATATATTTTTTCAGTAAGAATAGAATAGAAAATAATAGAATTAGCCTTTTTTCAAACAGAGTTGTTAATTTTATCTAAATCAGATAGTGTTAGAGCACTTCATTGAAACCAACAGAGAAGTATTTAAAATGCAAAAGACGATACTAGTAAATTGATAACGGAAGATTAAACTATTTCCAGAAACAATTTTTACCAAACATGCTAGATGATACGTATCAATAAATGAGTATTTTCATATATATTTGTTTATTTCATGGTTGAAAATGATATAATATGATTTAATTTAGATGTCAAATATATATGATGATGCTTTCCAGAGAGTAACCCTGGATTTTTGGTAAAAAATACAGGGACCTTTCACTAGAATGCTGGACTAGTGAACTTAAGCAGTAGTGCAATATGTTGTTGAATATAAATTTAAAAAAAAAAAGATATAAGTCCCCAAAATTATCTTTTAAAGCAGAAGCCTAACTCTCAATAATCATATTTTTTTAATCAAAATTTCAATAACATCTATAAACTGACCTGCTTTGTGAGTTTCTCCCACGTCTTTTTCAGTCTGTACACAGAACTGTTTACAAATGCTGCACAGATTTGGAGTACTCCATTGTAATTGTGCATACAACGACAGATATCAGCAATGGCCGCCCATTTCTCTATACACACTACTCTGTCTGTCAAGGTCTGTCGACCAACAATTTCTGATACAACCAATCTACTAACCTACAGAGAAATAAAAGGGAAATAGATTATTGTTTTTATTTACCTTCTAACTTTTGTGCTTTTAAGAAGCTGTTGGTTTTTAATCTAAGATACTTTCTGTTAAATGTATAACGACTTGTCTTAGATTCAAGGAGATGTAGAGCCAACATATGGTACGGACACTCGTCCACCATTAATGTAGCACACTGACTTCTAGATGCCTAAACAATATCTAGACTTAAAGTTTAATTCTATAATTCTAGTCTGGCATTGATTTGTGTATAAATTCAATTTTGTCATGATTTATCTCCCTTTACTAATATATATATGAGAAGGTACTGAAGGAGTATGGTTCTTTGTTGCCTATAAACAAATGTTATATGCTGCTTTATTGTTTTGGTGAGTTGTTGTTTCACATGATATCTACACTCAATTCACTTGTATTCAATTTTATCAACATTAGCAAAACTCTTTGCTCTTACTTCTTACGGTTGCATATTTTGTGGAGAAGCAAAAGTTCCAATCAGCTGTGTGTGATCAAACCCATAACCTAATGCACTTTGAGGCCTGCAAACAACCATAAAATCTACAAAGCTTTACGATCATATGATTGATAATAAGGTACAACTTAGTACTAAATTCAGGCTAAGTTTAATCCAACTAGACTCAAAAATTTTCACAAGAACAACTTTATATTACTTACTTCGTTGAATCTTTTACTGACAAGAAGAACATGAGGAGCTCTATGACACTTTGATGGCTTCATCCAAGCCTGTCCAAGTAACTCCCTGAAAAAATCATTAGATCAATGGCTAACAAATAAATAAAAGAATAACAAGAATGACTCAAATAAAGTAACTTTACAAAATCTAAAATCCTTACATGAGAAATTAATAAAGCTTTATATGTATTATATTGATACCTCTTTCACTAATATCTTCTAGTTATCATAGATTTCCCTTCATTTTATTATGCCAACATGACCACATGTCATGTTCATTTTTATTTCTTTTTGAATAGAGTAAATTGATACAAATCATCACTACTAATTACAATTACAACTGTTCGACGCTGTACTTACTCACTCCTTATACTGTAAATATTTTATGGTCTAAGTATGTTAACTGTTTGACGCTGTACTTACTCTCTCCTTATAATGATAAATATTTTATGGTCTAAGTATGTTAACTGTTTGACGCTGTACTTACTCGCTCCTTATGCTGATAAATATTTTATGATCTAAGTATGTTATCAGTTTGACGATGTTCTTACTTGCTCCTTATGCTGATTAATATTCTATGGTCTAAGTATGTTAACTGTTCGATGCTGTACTTACTCGCTCCTTATACTGATAAATATTTTATGGTCTAAGTATGTTAACTGTTTGACGCTGTACTTACTCACTCCTTATGCTGATAAATATTTTATGATCTAAGTATGTTAACTGTTTGACAATGTACTTACTCGCTATTTATACTGATAAATATTTTATGGTCTAAGTATGTTAACTGTTTGACACTGTACTTACTTGCTCCTTATGCTGATAAATATTTTATGATCTAAGTATGTTAACTGTTTGATGATGTACTTACTTGCTCCTTATGCTGATAGATATTTTATGGTCTAAGTATGTTAAAACTGTTTGACGCTGTACTTACTTGCTCCTTATGCTGATAAATATTTTATGGTCTAAGTATGTTAACTGTTTGACGCTGTACTTACTCGCTCCTTATACTGATAAATATTTTATGGTCTAAGTATGTTAACTGTTTGATGCTGTACTTACTAGCTCCTTATACTGATAAATATTTTATGGTCTAAGTATGCTAACTGTTTGACGCTGTACTTACTCGCTCCTTATACTGATAAATATTTTATGATCTAAGTATGTTAACTGTTTGACGCTGTACTTACTCGCTCCTTATACTGATAAATATTTTATGATCTAAGTATGTTAACTGTATGACGCTGTACTTACTCGCTCCTTAAACTGATAAATATTTTATGGTCTAAGTATGTTAACTGTTTGACGCTGTACTTACTCACTCCTTATACTGATAAATATTTTATGGTCTAAGTATGTTAACTGTTTAACACTGTACTTACTCGCTCCTTATACTGATAAATATTTTATGGTCTAAGTATGTTAACTGTTTGACGCTATACTTACTCGCTCCTTATACTAATAAATATTTTACAGTCTAAGTATGTTAACTGTTTGACGCTGTACTTACTCGCTCCTTATGCTGATAAATATTTTATGGTCTAAGTATGTTAACTGTTTGACGCTGTACTTACTCGCTCCTTATACTGATAAATATTTTATGATCTAAGTATGTTAACTGTTTGACGATGTATTAACTCGCTCCTTATGCTGATAAATATTTTATGATCTAAGTATGTTAACTGTTTGACGCTGTACTTACTGGCTCCTTATACTGATAAATATTTTATGATCTTAGTATGTTAATTGTTTGACGATGTATTTAATCGGTCCTTATGCTGATAAATGTTTTATGATCTAAGTATGTTAACTGTTTGATGATGTACTTACTCGCTCCTTATGCTGATAAATATTTTATGATCTAAGTATGTTAACTGTTTGACGCTGTACTTACTCGCTCCTTATACTGATAAATATTTTATGATCTAAGTATGTTAACTGTTTGACGCTGTACTTACTTGCTCCTTTTACTAATAAATATTTTATGGTCTAAGTATGTTAACTGTTTGACGCTGTACTTGCTCGCTCCTTATGCTGATAAATATTTTATGGTCTAAGTATGTTAACTGTTTGATGATGTACTTACTCGCTCCTTATGCTGATAAATATTTTATGATCTAAGTATGTTAACTGTTTGATGATGTTCTTACTCGCTCCTTATGCTGATAAATATTTTATGATCTAAGTATGTTAACTGTTAACTGTTTGACGGTGTACTTACTCGCTCCTTATGCTGATAAATATTTTATGATCTAAGTATGTTAACTGTTCAGCAATATCTAATGCAGATAGAGAATCAAAGGTGTCTTTGGAAGATATCTGTAAAAATAGGACAAAATCAAATAAATTTATAATGTGTCAGAAATATAGAAAAAATAAATGAATGTAAAATATGCAAGGCTGAAACATTTAACTAGAGGATCTTAAGTGACTGTGTGGCTCACCTAGGTCTAAAGACATCTTCAACCATGAACACTGCAATATTGTGAATTAGAAAAGAATTCATTACAAAAATTTCTCTTTTCGTTGATTTTGTATTGCTGATCATTATTTCTGTTTACGGTTTCTCTCTATCTTCCTTAGTTTTTGCCCAAACACAAAATAGAGTAAATATTGTCAAGAACTCCAATTAAGAGTTGACTAATGGTTTTGGCCATGCTGACTTATTTATAGATCTTGTCTTGTTGATCCTTTCTGCTTATTTAAGTTTTTATCTATCTATTATAGTTTTAAAGATGTTAAGCAAAAACACAAAAAAAAAATGGTAAAAATAGTCAATAAAGGGCTATAACTCCAATAAAGGGGTCATCAAACGATTTAAACTATGTGATTTATTTGTAGATCTCATCATTCCAAACATTTTTGTCCTCGTCAGATTTTTCTCTTTTAATAGTGGTTTTCAAGTTAATAGGACATATTTTTTTTAAACAAGATACCCTAATGATGATTGTGGCCAAGTTTGCTTAAATTTGGATTATAGACATAGATAATGCTTCTAAATTGTAACTAGATAAGAGAAAAACAAGAGATAAAGGGTATAGTCAATGAAACAGAGAGTAAAGAAGCAATAAATTACCGCAGGTGGTGTAAGTAACTTTTCTAAGTCGACTTTCTTGACTTCTTGAGATTCCTTGTTGATTGTACGTAAGATTGATGCTGCAGCTTTGTGTTCTGTGGGTAACAGTGATGTATTACAAACCATCTCCTCTAACATGTCAATCACTAATGCTTTCAGCTCTGGGTCACTCTCAAAATCCTAAAAATATATATTTATTATCTGATGAAAAAACTTATGTAGATGTTGACCTAAATATTGACAATTTTTCTCGTCTTATCTAGATGTAATTCATTTTCCCCTCAAATTATATCCCATGAAACAAATGAGGCAGCAACAAAGAATCTGTCATTACAACTATTCAGTGATATTAATTGCAAAATCTATTTTTCATTTTAAGATAAAGAAAGCTATTTCCCTCCCTACCCTCAAAATCAGGTTTCTCAATAACAAAGTGAAAGAAGGAGATAAGTTTACCTCTTGAATTAGAAAATTTAAAGTATTATAAATCGTTTGTCATTTTAAGTTGAATTTGTCATATATCTAAGGTATCATAATGGTTCAGCAAATGACATTTCTGTACTAATGTGATCAGACTATATCATTCTATTAATTCAAACACTGCTGGATTCAGAAAGTTTACTTGACTACTTTAGCACTACTTACTGATTTGAATTCATCTAGTGTCTGGCCATGTTTAGTGCAAGTTACTAGTTGGAATTTATCTGAGGGTTTGATAGTGTTAAGCACTAGTTACCTGTTTGAATTTACCAAATGTTTTACTATGTTTAAGGTCTAATTACCTATTGAAACTTCATTGATTGGAATTTGGAAACCCAATGTTTGACTATGTTAAGTTACCTGTTGGAATTTGGAAACCCAATGTTTGACTATGTTAAGTTACCTGTTGGAATTTGGAAACCCAATGTGTGACTATGTTAAGTTACCTGTTGGAATTTGGAAACCCAATGTTTGACTATGTTAAGTTACCTGTTGGAATTTGGAAACCCAATGTTTGACTATGTTAAGTTACCTGTTGGAATTTGGAAACCCAATGTGTTACCTGTTGGAATTTGGAAACCCAATGTTTGACTATGTTAAGTTACCTGTTGGAATTTGGAAACCCAATGTGTGACTATGTTAAGTTACCTGTTGGAATTTGGAAACCCAATGTGTGACTATGTTAAGTTACCTGTTGGAATTTGGAAACCCAATGTTTGACTATGTTAAGTTACCTGTTGGAATTTGGAAACCCAATGTGTTACCTGTTGGAATTTGGAAACCCAATGTTTGATTATGTTAAGTTACCTGTGGGAATTTGGAAACCCAATGTTTGACAATGTTAAGTTACCTGTGGGAATTTGGATACCCAAATGTTTGACTATGTTAAGTTACCTGTGGGAATTTGGAAACCCAATGTTTGACAATGTTAAGTTACCTGTGGGAATTTGGATACCCATATGTTAAACTATGTTAAGGTACCTGTGGGAATTTGGAAACCCAATGTTTGACAATGTTAAGTTACCTGTTGGAATTTGGATACCCAAATGTTTGACTATGTTAAGTTACCTGTTGGAATTTAGATACCCAATGTTTGACTATGTTTAAGGTCTAATTACATGTTGGAATTTGGAAACCCAATCTTTGACAATGTTAAGTTACTTGTTGGAATTAGGATACCCAATGTTTGACTATGTTAAGTTACCAGTTGGAATTTGGAAACCCAATGTTTGACTATGTTTTAGGTCTAGTTACATGTGGGAATTTGGAAACCCGATGTTTGACTATGTAAGTTACCTGTTGGAATTTGGAAACCCAATGTTTGACTATGTTTTAGGTCTAATTACATGTGGGAATTTGGAAACCCAATGTTTGACAATGTTTACTTACCTGTTGGAATTTGGAAACCCAATGTTTGACTATGTTTTAGGTCTAGTTACATGTGGGAATTTGGAAACCCAATGTTTGACTATGTTAGTTACCTGTTGGAATTTAGATACCCAATGTTTGACTATGTTAAGTTACCTGTTGGAATTTGGAAACCCAATGTTTGACTATGTTTTAGGTCTAATTACATGTGGGAATTTGGAAACCCGATGTTTGACTATGTAAGTTACCTGTTGGAATTTGGAAACCCAATGTTTGACTATGTTTTAGGTCTAATTACATGTGGGAATATGGAAACCCGATGTTTGACTATGTAAGTTACCTGTTGGAATTTGGAAACCCAATATTTGACTATGTTTTATGTCTAATTAAATGTGGGAATTTGGAAACCCAATGTTTGACTATGTTAAGTTACTTGTTGGAATTAGGATACCCAATGTTTGACTATGTTAAGTTACCAGTTGGAATTGGAAACCCAATGTTTGACTATGTTTTAGGTCTAGTTACATGTGGGAATTTGGAAACCCGATGTTTGACTATGTAAGTTACCTGTTGGAATTTGGAAACCCAATGTTTGACTATGTTTTAGGTCTAATTACATGTGGGAATTTGGAAACCCAATGTTTGACAATGTTTACTTACCTGTTGGAATTTGGAAACCCAATGTTTGACTATGTTAAGTTACCTGTTGGAATTTGGAAACCCAATGTGTTACCTGTTGGAATTTGGAAACCCAATGTTTGACTATGTTAAGTTACCTGTTGGAATTTGGAAACCCAATGTGTGACTATGTTAAGTTACCTGTTGGAATTTGGAAACCCAATGTGTGACTATGTTAAGTTACCTGTTGGAATTTGGAAACCCAATGTTTGACTATGTTAAGTTACCTGTTGGAATTTGGAAACCCAATGTGTTACCTGTTGGAATTTGGAAACCCAATGTTTGATTATGTTAAGTTACCTGTGGGAATTTGGAAACCCAATGTTTGACAATGTTAAGTTACCTGTGGGAATTTGGATACCCAAATGTTTGACTATGTTAAGTTACCTGTGGGAATTTGGAAACCCAATGTTTGGCAATGTTAAGTTACCTGTTGGAATTTGGATATGTTTTAGGTCTAATTACATGTGGGAATATGGAAACCCGATGTTTGACTATGTTTTAGGTCTAATTTAATGTGGGAATTTGGAAACCCAATGTTTGACTATGTTAGTTACCTGTTGGAATTTAGATACCCAATGTTTGACTATGTTTAAGGTCTAATTACATGTTGGAATTTGGAAACCCAATGTTTGACTATATTAAGTTACTTGTTGGAATTAGGATACCCAATGTTTGACTATGTTAAGTTACCTGTTGGAATTTGGAAACCCAATGTTTGACTTTGTTTTAGGTCTAGTTACATGTGGGAATTTGGAAACCCAATGTTTGACTATGTTTTAGGTCTAATTACATGTGGGAATTTGGAAACCCAATGTTTGACTATGTTTTAGGTCTAATTACATGTGGGAATTTGGAAACCCAATGTTTGACTATGTTAGTTACCTGTTGGGGAATTAGGAAACCCAATGTTTGACAATGTTTTAGGTTTAATTACCTGTTGGGATTTAGATACCCAATGTTTGACTATGTTAAAGGTCTAATTACATGTTGGAATTTGGAAACCCAATGTTTGACAATGTTTAGTTACCTGTTGGAATTTGGAAACCCAATGTTTGACTATGTTAAGTTACCTGTTTGAATTTGGAAACCCAATGTTTGACAATGTTTAGTTACCTGTTGGAATTTGGAAACCCAATGGTTGACAATGTTTACTTACCTGTTGGAATTTTGGAAACCCAATGTTTGACAATGTTAAATTACCTGTTGGAATTTGGATACTCAATGTTTGACAATGTTTTAGGTCTAATTACCTGTTGGAATTTAGATACCCAATGTTTGACTATGTTAAGCACTCTCATGGTGGCAGCAGTACTTATCACAGATTCTCTCTTCTTCTGTAGACGAGAATCACCAGTTCCTGTTGGAATACACATACAATGTTAACTCTGTATCATACCCTAGTCCATGTGATATAAAACATGATGATATTGCCTGGCACTAAAGAGACTGTCTGATTTATAATGTGTTTAATCAATTTAATGTACCTAATGTACTTTAGTATACTATATTTTGCAATTCTGTTTTGTTTTTAGTATTATTATACCTTTATTTTTAAGAGTAAAGTGCTTTTCCTGTACTTGGTTTTATTGTTTGTTCTATTATTGTACTTTTTGTTCATTAACTGATCATGATTTTTTTTAAAGTGGGAGGACGGTTGAGATCTTAAAAAAAACCTAGTTTAACCACACCACATTTTCATACACCTGTCCTAAGTCATAAACCTCATCAGACGTGGTTTATTATTAATTGTTTTTTCCTTATTTGGAGAATATCATGTTAATGGAAGATTTAGAGTTTAATATATTGTAATGACACATGTCTTTTTTATAAGACTGCATGTTGCTCCCTAGATGTATTTTGGTTATTTTTGTCATTGGGTTGCTGTCTCACTCAGACATATACTCCACATCTCCTTTTATTCAGGTTATTTAAATGTTTGCAAAAGGCACTGTAACCTTTAACCTTCAGGACAGTTTTTGAAAACCCATTATGAAGAGAACTAAATTCTTCAAGCATACAGTACTTAAATTCAAAGAAAAAGATTGAGAAAAAAATATTGATTTCTTTCATTAAAAAATTCCAAATAATTGAACATGGATGAGACTTATATCTAGAAACATGAATGTGTCCATAGTACACTGATGCCCCACTCTCACTCTCATTTTCTATGTTCAGTGGACTGTGAAATCGGGGTCAAAACTCTAATTTTAAAATTAGAAAGATCATATCATAGGGAACAAGTGTACTAAGTTTCAAGTTGATTGGACTTCAACTTCATCAAAAACTAACATGACCAAAAACTTTAACCTGAAGCGGGACAGAAGGCCGGACGGACGAACGAACAGACGCACAGACCGAAAAACATAAATAAAACAGGTTTATTATACAGGAAACAAGTGATGATATTAAGCAACTAACCTGTAGTGGGCTGTAGAAATGCCCTTGATGTCCTTGGAGTGGTCTGTGGCTGAGGTGGTGCTGTTGCCTGCTGTTGTGGTGGTTGTGTAGACACTGGTACAGTTACCGTTGGTGGTTGCTGGGTTGTTGGCACCTGTTGTTGCTGACCTTGACCTGGTTGTGGACTCTCGGGGTAGTTCACTGACCCAGCTGTAGCCACAGCAAATGCTGTCAAAGCTGCTGTGGAACTTGATCTGTATATAAAGGTGGGAAAATTTGGCAATTCAAAAGTGATATTTTAACAAATTAACAAGTTTTTGCACAGATGGAAATATTTGTTATTAAATGACTAATCTGCATTCAAATGAACAGCTACCATTATAGACTGATATCTAGTCTTATGGCCTTTGTTAGTCTTGTATGTTTTTTAATTTCAGTTCATTTATATGTTTTGGAGTTTAGTATGACGTCCATTTTCACTGAACTAGTACACATTTTTATTTAGGGGCCAGCTGAGGCCCGCCTCTGGGTGAGGGATTTTCTCGCTGCGTTGAAGACCCATTGGTGGCCTTCGGTTGTTTTCTGCTCTTTGGTTGGATTGTTGTCTTTTTGACATATTCCCCATTTCCATTCTCAATCTTATTATTGTTGGTTAAAACCCTCGATGAAAAAAAGGCAATAAAACAGAGTGGACTTGAAACATTTCAAAACATAGAGAAATTGACCAGTTCTTACAACTGCATAATACAGAAAGATTTTACAAAATGGAAAAAATAGCAGAATTGGCTGCACCTGAAGTCAAATTATAATAAAATAAAGAAACATAGATTTGAAAAGGTTAGAACTTGGCTTTAAAATGGGAGGAAATCATGTATGATAATAAAAGTACTATCTGTGAGGTAAAACGTGTAATTGACAGAAAAAATTCAAATAAAAGATATGATCTAGGTCTGCCACATGTTACTGGCTTTTCCCAAGTTAGGACTTTCATCATTATAACTGTGGCTTCAGTTATTTTCTTTGTTGACAATTTGGTGTTGTATCTCAAGTGATTCTGGTTTTTAGTTTAATTTCACAACTTATCTATGTTTGAAGGCTGTGACCTCTACACAATATTTTGTGAAACATTTTATTATTGCTGGCTCATTGCAATTTACCTAACATAGTCCCCCATTTGGCCTTTACAAGAGTCAAGAAGATGTAACAGCAAAAATTTAACATCCTATCTGTGTCAACTTACCTTCGTTGGGATCTACGAGAAGATGTAACAACAGCACCAGATTTGGCCTGAGGTGGGGAACCCTCTATCTGACTTATAATGCTGCTACGTGGTGTACTGGCACTAATTATACTACTCCTTGGAGTACTGTATATACTTCCTATAGATTCAGCCTCAGCACTTCCTCTCTTACCAGTAACTGTAATATAATTTCACTTCTTATAGTCATTTTCATAACTAAACACTCTGAATGCTTTACTTATACTTTTTCTGACACTTTGGAAATATGAGTTACGACTGTAGATTAAAAAAATTATGCCATCAATGTTTAGATAATAAATTTCAAAGAAATGTCTAAATCATCTGGTCTTTCAAAAGTGTTATGGAATTTTTCAGTATGTAAAATTAATATTCTATAGCAGTTATTCAATTCGCTATGAAGATCAAATCTGAAAGTCCCAAATACACCTCAGTAAAAATTTTGCATCACCATTAAGTGTCAAAATCAAATATTTATATGATTCAAGGAAGATAGGAATCATGTTCAAGTAATTTTACAACCCCTATCATTATAATTACATCCCATTCTTGTTTTTTCTCATTTTAAATGAAATTGTTATAATAACTTAATAACAAATTGTTGATTTGTTTAAAATGATATATTGCTTACATAAAAAAATGGAGAATGCGTCTAAGGGCCACTTATGCCCCCGCTTGTAAATATGCATGAGAAAACTTCCACATACAGATGCAGGATTTAAAGCATTGTGTATAAGTTTCACAACATTTGGTTGATGCAAACTATTTAAGTTAGAGAATGGAAACGACAGATTTAGCAATTTTTCCATTTATAAAGGGGCATATCTCAAGAATGGTAAAAGTGACACCACCCAATTTCGATCTTGATCTATGTTATGTGGTAATAAGCATTGTGTATAAGTTTTATAACATTTGGTTGAGGCAAACTAAAGTAAGAGAACGGAAACGAAAAATTCTGCAATTTTTATATTTATAAAGAGGCATAACTCTAGAAAGGTAAAAGTGAAGCCACACAATTTCCAACTTGATCTGTGTTTTGTGGTAATAAGCATTGTGTATAAGTTTTATAACATTTGGTTGAGGCAAACTAAAGTTAGAGAACAGAAACGAAAAAAATTCAGCAATTTTTATGTTTATAAAGGGGCATAACTCATGAACAGTAAAAGTGACGCCATCCAATTTCAAACTTGATCTGTGTTTTGTAGTAATAAGCATTGAGTATAAGTTTTATAACATTTAGTTGAGGCAAACTAAAGTTATAGAACGGAAACGGAACTGACAAGGGTAAAACTTAATGCCCCCTCCTATACGGCAGGGGCATAAAAAAACTAAAATATGATGTACTTATTTAAGACTTACATGGCCTTTTGATATGTGACATGATGTTTGGCGATGACATACTGTACATAATGGGTGAAGGTGCTCTGTTGATTTTTGGACTGGAAATCGGTGACTTGATGGGAGATAACCTAGGTGGGGTGGATGGTCTACGATCACGAACTGCTGGTGAAAGTTCTCTTCTTGTTGGAGAAGACTGTCGTCTGGGAGATGGGGAGAGTTCTAGCCTAGTTGGCGAGGTCCGTCTTTGTAGTGATGGTGATGAGACCTCCTGTCGTGTTGGAGAAGATGGTCGTCTGCCTGGAGATGGAGCTCTCCTGAGAGGAGAAGTAGCTCTGGCTGTAGGTGAAGGAATTCTGATTGGTGAAGACATAGGTGGTTTAATGATACGTATCGGACTACTAGGAGATAGTGCTAACGCTTCTAACATATGAGGATCTGTACTGAAATGGTATCCTCTGCTTGGAGACAGTGGTCTCTTTTCATATCCTGGACTTAAACTTCTTGTTGGAATGCCATTTGTTTGCCCTCTTATATTAAACCTTGGACTCACTCTGGGTGATGGAAAAGGACTCAATCTTGGTGTTCCAGGAGTCAATGTGTCAGAGCTTGCCGCTGAGCTAATAGTATTTGAGCTCTGATCACGAGCAGTGTGAAATGTTTCTGTGGACTCTGATTCTGACAGAAATATTTGTGATTCACTTAAAAAATCCTTGTCCTCGTCACTAGAATAATCACAGGTTTCACCAATTTCTCCAGCACCCAAGGATAATTTTAAAGACCCAGAAACCTCCATTTTTATTGACGGAACACATGTTTCATGATCTGTCAATGTTTCCGTTGAAGCAATGGGAGCAAGTTTTTGCTTTGGTGGCGCTAAAAAACTCTGTAATTCACTTCCTGTTTCATCACTGTCAATGGAATCTCTACTATCTACTGAAACAATATAATGTAAATGTGTTGATCATTTTTAGAAGAAATAAATGTTAAGGGAGAGCGTACATGCACTTCTTATTTCAATAATACCCAGCCATATATATATCATTTAATTGCTAATTTTTTATATTTCATTAGCTGAACTTTAAAGCAAAAACCATCAAATTTCTTTATAGTGCTTTCTTACCCTTACAAAAAACCATCAAAATATTGTTTGATTTCTGGAAAAGCCTTCAGCAAAGTCATAAATTTTAAGTGAATCATGAATCCTATGCAAACTAGCACATACATACTTATTTCTTTAAAATGTCCAGTTTAGCAATTCAACAAGCTATATTTTTTTTACTTTTGTGAAGAGACAGCTGAAAAGCCAAGTTTTAAAACTGTGATTACAGTTGATAAAGATAAGAAGACAAAAATAAATGTATGTACATTTGATTAAAATTGACTATACAAATAATTCATACATAACTTGTCTCGACAAAAGTGGAATAAAGTTTGATATACAGTGTAGGCACATGTCAATGGTTGAAAATTATGTAGTGACCTCTAGATATCAATTTTGAATAAATTGTATTTCTTAGCTCCTGTCTAATTGACTTTTCCCCCTGTGTCTCCTTTATAGTCATGTGCAATTATCCTGTATTTCTGGAAAGATTCAATAAAAATTAAAATATAATGAGAAGATCTTACATTTATGGAATGATTCAGATCCTAGTGTAGGGGGTTTCTTAATTGGTCTTTTCTCCATAGATACTTCATGTTTCATATCCCCTGTACTTATTCTGCGTGGTTTTTCCACTTGAGGTTTGAGTAGAAGTTTGGTGTCGGTGGGTGGATGCTCTGTGAACTGTTGTGGTGGGCTCGTACTGTAGATATCAGTATCTGATGCTGATCTAAAAAAAAATAAACAACTTATTAATACTTTCAGTGCTGATTTTCGTTGTGCAGAGGTTTACCCAGGCTATGGTCATAATTTGATTTGGACAGATTAGTTTAGTTTACACATATCTTATAATTGGTTGTATATGCTCTTCTGTTTGTATTAGGTTTTGGAATCAAAATTTTTTGTTAGTTGTTTATATTGATCTATACTATCAAAAAGTAATGATAAAATAAGTTATAATTCCAGTCGAAATAGCAATAATCCAATTTTCTTTAAACATATTTGCCAAGATCTTTCACTTTTGGAGAGTATAAAAATCATTTACAAACCAAACTCCAAATTTGATTGACCCAAATTTCTGTATAATCAGGTCCATAAAATTTTATAGAGTTCAGGTTGTAGATTATTTATACTAACTGAAGTTGTTATCTTAAAATTACAAGAAAATATGATTTTTGTTAAAGAAACCTGATACTCACTGGCAAGAAGACAGGCTAGAATCCAATGTCTGTTCAGGATTCTTATAAACCCGTTTGAGGGCTTCCAGCACCACTTTTCCACTAGAAAACACTCTATAGGTCAGCAGGAATGTGTTCAGGAAATCGATGCTTAGAAACCTGAGATCAGTGAGACGATCTAGTAGGCGGTCTACACTGGCATGACGGATCTACAGAAACAAAGAGAGATTTAAACAGAGGTACAAGAAGTATTAAAATTACTTAATATGTGTTATTCACCAAATTGAGTGTAGATTCCGTCATGTTAATCATTGTTATATATTTTTTTTTAAATGCATATATTGACAAAGGACTAAATTTTAGCCTAAATATGGTAGAAATCAGTTTTTTTCTAGTGAGTCATCTCTGCAATGGTATCATTCCATTTTCATTGGTTTATTCTATCAATTCTTTAACTTATTTTGTTTTCATTCATTTTATTCTGTTGGTAAAAAATAAGTTTATGCTCTTTTAAGGCCATTGATTAGAAAAATAAACAATCCTATTTTTCTTACTTGAGGCACTTTGCAGGAATTTAATGTTCTACTGAACTTGATGTCAACATCATCCTTAAACAGCTTTGGATCAGACCTGAAAGTACACGAAATAAGTAATTATCTTCTCTACAACTTGTATCTTTCTAACCTAACTATAACTTAATCCAAACAATGCCTATACTTTATGCTGATTGAATCATTTCTTATGATGTCCAGATATACTGCCATAGGGTCCATAGATATAAATTTAAAAGATGAGTTTTATGCGCCATAAACTTCAATCAATGAAAGATTTTACAACTTTGTTAAATAAATTATTTCTCCTGAGTTAAGATATTGTTTGTATTCAGATACCAGTTTGTTAATAGGGTTAAATATGCTTTCATTAACTGCAAGCATACAATATTGAGCAGTCAAAAAATATAATCTGAATGTGATATAGTGACTAGTTACAGCCTGGTTATCCCAACTACATGTGACATAGTGACTAGTTACAGCCTGGTTACCCTAACTGAATGTGATATAGTGACTGCCTAACTGAGTGTGATATAGGGACTGGTTACAGCCTGGTTACCCTAACTGAATGTGATATAGTGACTGCCTAACTGAATGTGATATAGGGACTGGTTATAGCCTGGTTACCCTAACTGAATGTGATATAGTGACTGATTACAGCCTGGTTACCCTAACTGAATGTGATATAGTGACTGGTTACAGCCTGGTTACCCTAACTGAATGTGATAAAAGTGACTGGTTACAGCCTGGTTACCCTAACTGAATGGGATAAAGTGACTGGTTACAGCCTGGTTACCCTAACTGAATGTGATTTAGTAACTGCCTAATTGAATGTGATATAGTGACTGCCTAACTGAATGTGATATAGTGACTGCCTAACTGAATGTGATATAGTGACTGGTTACAGCCTGGTTACCCTAACTGAATGTGATATAGTAACTGCCTAACTGAATCTGATATAGTTATGGCCTAACTGAATGTGATATAGTGACTGCCTAACTGAATGTGATATAGTGACTGGTTACAGCCTTGTTCCCTGAACTAAATAATTTTATAAAAAAAAAAAAAAAAATTCAAACAAAAACTTAATGATAACTTTTGTCACTCATTTTGCAGAACCTGCTTAATTAGTTAATTATTTTTTTTGCTTCTGTAATGAATATGCATGAAATATCTGCTACTGGACATTAAGCAAACAATAATCCGTCTATTTAATTGTGTAGATTCAGTTTACATTGTTTTAAGGTTAAAAAAAACAGGATGTTACTTCCAAACGATACTGACTACTGCTTTAAATTGGTCATCCGATTATTTCGTCATTGCATATGATTGAGCGCCTTGTCTGATCTTTTTATTTCTCCAAACTATTCAAGAAGAAAGATCTTTTACTTAATACATCAGAAATACAACTTACTTATTATTTGTAAATACTTTTTCAAATAGAAAAAAAATCTTTTTACCAGTATTAATATAAACATTTTATATCATCAATTTTGGAACCCAAAATAATAAATAAAAGCAAACTTTTCCAGCATTAAAACAGCCCACATTGAAAGCAAAAGTGAAAAAGCAAGCAATGCACAATACATTCCTACTAAGTGCAATATATTTGCTATCATCATAAATTAGAAATCTGTTTGATAAATTGCATGAAATAATTTTGATAAAACAAAAACAAAAATAAATAAAACGGTGACATGTACAGCAACAGATTATATTATTCCATGCCAGATAATAAAGTCTAAAGCTACATTCTACCAACAGATCAAAATTCTGTGTGTCTATTGGTTAAAAATATTACAATCCAAACAGGATTTTACATGGGAAAAACAAAATTTTATGACTCAAACTGAAAATAATAGGGTCCTTAGCACCTGAATCATTCACCTGGCAACCATAGACCAATTCAATATATTTATTTTTACCTTTATTGCAATTGTTTATGATTTGTAATTAGTAGATCTTATCGAGCTGATCTGTTTTGCTGTTCTCTCTTCTATCTATTTTAGTTTGAAGAAAATATTTGAAAATGGGGGAAAAAAATAATAACTCCATCAATAGATGATTTATTTGAAGATATTATTTTGCTGATCCTTTTTGTTACTTAAAGTTTCTCCCTATCTATTATAGCTTTCAAGACAATTGCCAAAAATGCTAAATTATATAAAATTGTCATTTAACTTAAGGGTAAACAATATAAGGAGTTGGTTGACAATATTTGTGATATCAACTTACTTTTTATACTGATAGTTGTAGATCTGCTCTTGTTTTTATCATTTTTGCTCTTCACACTTTTTTCTCTATTATAGTTTTAAAGATATTAGCAATGAAAATTGGAAAAACTTATAATTCAATGGCAATTACTCCTAGAGACTAAAATGACAACTTGGTCATATTAACTTATCTGTAGATCTTGGATTCCTGATCATTTATATTGTATAAAGGTTCTCTATGTACAGGTATAAGAGTTTTCAAGATGATTGTACCACAACATGAGAAAGAGGTAGAGTAATGATTATTTAATGGCTATAACTACTTAGGAGTCATCTGATAATTTTGGGGGAAATGGAAAGTCAGTAAATCTTTATATTGTAAACAATTAGGCATCTGTCACATTTTCTCAATCTATTATGGTTTTCAAGATATTGAACAATTAATACATTTTACCCTTATGTTCTATTTTAAGCTATGACTACCATTTTGGTTGAATGACAGGAACAAAAAACAAAAACAAAAAAAGTTTATACTAGATACCATTAGGTTCATTCACCCCATGTTTGGTTAATATTGGTCCAGCAGTTTCACAGAAGATTTATTTTAATAAAAACGAAGACGACGAAAGACGCCAAAGGATGACATTAGCTAACATGGCCCATAAGATCAGGTGAGCTAAAAATGAATTGTATAAATAATATATTCATAATTTATCAAATAATATAAAGCAAGCCAGAAAAAAATAATTGTAAGATTTCCATGTTTTGATCTACTTTAAAACTTGACAAGGATTTTCACTGTGGAAGAAAAAACACCAGGAAATTATACACATTGTTCTCTTTAACAAAAAAATTGTCAATTTCTGTTTTCCATTTGAAATTATGTCCAAAATGACACACAAGGATTTTGAAATTAGGAAATCACTCACCAGATTTGAGCATCATGGATGTATCTGCAAAGTGTGCAGGTCAAATTGTTGTTAAGCAATGATAAAGACAGAAGTACAACAAAGACGACCTTCACAGAAAGTTGTTTATAAGTAAGAAAAAATGAAACTATCTCTGAAAGTATCTGAAGGGAAAAAATTAAATCCATAACAATTTTGTCTCCAACTTTTTGCCCTTTTTTTCAAAGAAGATAAAACATGTCAACATTTATTCTGAGCAAAATGATTTCATTAACAAAATATTCATTATAAATATAAATAATTGGAAATAGCAAAGCAGTATTACTCCTAGAATAATGTGGGAGTCTTCGAAATAAGACATGTGTCGCCTGGTGTTTTTAAATAAAATAAGTTTTTTTCCGTATTTAAAATCCCCAAAATCACTCGAGAAATTGAAACAGGCAGTGACCAATGTCATGCCTTGTAGAAGAATCTGTGTAAGTTTGGTTGAATTTTGTCCAGCAGTTTTCAAGAAGCTGAAGACCAACAAACAGATGTAAGCAGAAATGGCTAAGTCCATGTTTTTGTACGGGAAACCACTAAATTCACTCAGATCAAAAATCAAAATAGCAGGTCCACTACATGTCTTGCAGGGGAATCTGTGTAAGTTTTGTTGAAATCTTTCCAGACATTCTCAAGAAGTTGAAGATTAACATAAAGTGTGACAACAGACAACGAAAGGAAATCCCTATGCCTCACAAGCTTCAGCTAGACAATGTCAAGGAACACAATAACACAGCCAGACAAACTTAAAAACAAAATGGAGTAAGTTATCAATGAACAAGCCATTCTTCATGACATGCAGTAGAGTATAGGTTATACATAAGTACAGTTACATATATAAACACATTAACATATAAATAATGAATGATTTAATTTATTTTACAACTTCTAACAGATATGCTATCAAATAGTTACATGTTTTTTACTGGACAACACATATACAATCCATAAGTCTAGTTCACAAAGTACAATTGCTAAACTCACTTTTAATTGCAATTTCCATTGAGTAGGACATCATCGTAACTTTAGAATACATAATATGATGAAGTCCAGAGTCTGAGTACACCTAACAAACTGAGATATCAGAGAGTCAGAACTCACCTTACAGACTGAGGCATCATACGATAACTTAGTGATGGATACTAGAGTCCATTAAGTACCTATGCTGATGGACTGTCATTTAAAAAAATTTAGTAACATAAAAGAAGATGATATACATATTGATGAGATCTATGTCACTGTATTGACCGACTGTGCCAGACCCTCATGGGTAGTCAAGGGTGTTAAACACCCCCTAGTAGTAGTAGTACTGCCCTGATTGATAATCACCTCAACAACTGATGCATCTTTGTGATGACTCAGTTATGAGTAAGTTCAGTGAGTCTGCATACTAAGAGATAATCATCCAAAAGACTGTGTCTTGTAACTGAATGCGACTCACTCAATACTCAGTTTAGTAAAGCACTGTAAATGGATACTGACTTAAAACTAGATGTGTCTGAACGACACGAATAACTGCTTGCAAAAAAAGCTTGAAGCCATTGTTAGGAGCGGAAATTTGAGAATGAAAGTCTGTTTAACTTATTTTCACGAAATTTTCAAAGTTCAAAGCCTGTAATATTTGCACAAATCGGTGGAACAGAACCTAACTTGATCTGTAACTCATGATAGTAGACTCACATATTAGAAATCAGCTTAAATATGTGGAGGCATTTAGAAAAAAAAGTCCGTAAAACTGTTATTTTCACTAAATTTTTAAAGACCAAAGCCCGAAAATTTTAGCACAAAAACAGCGGAGCAGAACCAAACATAAACTCAATCTGTACCTAATCATAGTAGAGTCTGTATAACTGTTATTTTCATGAAATTTACAGAGTCAAAGTCCAAAGCCGGTAATTCTGACAAAAATCAGCGATGCGAAACCAAACGTTAACTTGATCTGTAACCCATCATAGTAGACTAACATGCTAAAAATCAGCTCAATATGTGAAGGTGTTTAAAAAAAACAACAATATATAACTGTCTGTTGCAGAGTGACAGAATGGCACAAAAACAGATAAGGGTAAAACTGTATGGCCCCGACACTCTTCATTGAAGATGACTCGCCAATGAATGAGTTTATGAAGTACCAATATTAACCGATACTCACCTTACAGATAGGGCATCATAACTGAAGATGACTCACTCATGGAGGAGTTCCTAACAGATGCTCACCTAACAGACTAGGGCATCGTAACTGAAGACCACTTACTCATGGAGGAGTTCCTAACAGATACTCACCTTACAGACTGGGGCATCGTAACTGATGAAGACTCACTCATGGAGGAGTATATAACATATACTCACCTTACATACTGAGGCATCTTAATTGAAGATGACTCACTCATGAAGGAATTCCTAATAGATACTCACCTGACAGACTGGGGCATCGTAACTGAAGACGACTCACTCATGGAGGAGTTCAGTAGGTCACTGTAATGGAGATTTTCTATGCACTAAAAAATAAAAATTAAATAAAAAATTACTTTTATATTCAAAATAAAAATTAGCCATTATCAATGAAAATTCAGATCCTATGTCCATGTTTCCCTTAAAAGGATCTAACAACACTCCTTTCTGTCCATGCTTCCCTTATAAGGATCTGACAACACTCCTTTCTGTCCATGCTTCCCTTATAAGGATCTGACAACAATCCTTTCTGTCCATGCTTCCCTTATAAGGATCTGACAACACTCCTTTCTGTCCATGCTTCCCTTACAAGGATCTGACAACACTCCTTTCTGTCCATGCTTCCCTTACAAGGATCTGACAACTCTCCTTTCTGTCCATGCTTCCCTTACAAGGATCTGACAACTCTCCTTTCTGTCCATGCTTCCCTTACAAGGATCTGACAACTCTCCTTTCTGTCCATGCTTCCCTTACAAGGATCTGACAACACTCCTTTCTGTCCATGCTTCCCTTACAAGGATCTGACAACTCTCCTTTCTGTCCATGTTTCCCTTACAAGGATCTGACAACTCTCCTTTCTGTCCATGTTTCCCTTACAAGGATCTGACAACTCTCCTTTCTGTCCATGCTTCCCTTACAAGGATCTGACAACTCTCCTTTCTGTCCATGCTTCCCTTACAAGGATCTGACAACTCTCCTTTCTGTCCATGCTTCCCTTACAAGGATCTGACAACACTCCTTTCTGTCCATACTTCCCTTACAAGGATCTGACAACTCTCCTTTCTGTCCATGCTTCCCTTACAAGGATCTGACATTACTCCTTTCTTGTTTCTGTTCTATTAATTATTACATCAGCCAATGTAATCCCTGCTTTTTTAAGGTTTGTATCATTGGGACAAAAGCTGAGGATCCTGAAAGGTCTTTAAAACAGATAGAAGAATGGAGCTTTTCCTAATGTAAGCAAAGCTTGGACACAGGATCTGCATCCTAATAAGATTGATACATTTATAACTTGATTTCAGGAAGAATGTGTTAGCAGTATCTATCATGAGCTGTAAAGACCCCTTTACCTAATCAAATGGAACAGAACGGATGTGGTGTATGATGTGACTTTGAAATGAAGACCAACAATAAAAGCACTGTTCCTTTGCTTTCAGTTTTCAATATCAAATGAACTATGACAATTTCAATGTTTGTACATTATTAAGGATGTTATCAAACTATTCCTAGTTCTTGAAGTCTGATCCCAAATATGCTCCTCTTGACTATCTTCTTACACAAGTTCTGTGGAAAGAGATTCATCCTGCAGGCAATAACTCAAATTATTTCAAATGGAAAGCTTTAAAATCCCGCCAATAAGGAGAAGGTGCAAACTGAATCTATCTATGCAACATTGTCATTTATCGTAAAAACATTGCCTTTTTACAGGATTGACTGTCATGAAATGAAAGCAAATACCATAAAACAATAATATAACACAAAATTATAACATATAGACAAAAATTATCTGAACCAATAGAATTAATTATTTACCTGACTAATATCACTACACCAAGCAATTTTTTCTTGGTGCGTGGAAGCTACCAATGTCAAAGTGGTTGGAGGTCCACTCTTTGAATCAATAATAATTTTAAAATCTAATCCATTGTAGTTATTGCGATCTCGGTCACAGGCCTGAGCTGTCAGTAATGTGGTTGCAGAAGTTAGACTTCCAAAGCTTTCCCAAGATATTGCTACAAAATAATAAGAAAGTCATCTAAAACATCAGCCTGTTCAAAGCAGTCTTTTTTTCTTTTTTTTTTGTATCAGTTAATTTCACAGTGTTAATCACACTGGTGATGCAATTTCTGTATGTTTAAACTAGAGGTTCACAGGAGTACGAATAACTATATCTAAAGAAAAACATGGAATTTTTACAAAATAAAATCAGTTGTTATAGTAACCATTTGTGATGTTGCCTTGTTACAGATGTATCTGATAAATTTTATTTTTATGTGCTTTTTATTAAGTTTAAAATCTTTTTTGGACCATTCCTTCACAGAAATGACTCAAATCTAATAATTTGTTTTTAGGAAAATTCTCACGTGTGACAGAAATTTAAAAAGGTTCAATACTCAAATGTCATGGTTGCAAAACTTATAATTTGTAATTTGAAAGGTCATATAAACGGCATTAGTGTTTTATACAATTTAGGGAGCATCTATAGGAGTGCTATCTTAGGAAAGGATATCAACTGATTTCTAAAAATTAGCAACCTATAGTTTCTTAGGTGAGATTTTAGTTACCTTAAATTGAGAATGTTGCAGAAAATTGGCTAAGTTTCACCATCTCAAAAATAGCCAAATGTGTACCTAAATGAGGTGTACATCTTCAATGTATATATACATGCATTCTAATAAATTTGAAGGCTCTGGGTTGAAATTTAAGGAGGAGTTGATTACACCAAATAGGTTTTCTCCATAGAGAATGTAACTGAAAAATGACAAGTTTCAATTTATAAAAATCTGCAAATTTCTTCATTAAACTTTGACATAATGTGTGATACACTGGCTCTTTGAGAAAGTTGAATAAAAAATGCAGAAGATTTTAATATCATCTCTATTTTTCTTCCTATATTCCGATCTTAAAATACTAGGTCAACCTTTGAAAAAGAAAGGAGCTTAAGAATCCTAATACTGTAAGCATAAGAAATATATAAAGTATAAATTAGTGTGTCAATTCTCAAATTTTAAATATATAAATATCTAAACAGACCTCCGATGATAAATGATTTCTATTTTATGTCCAACAGCTTTAAGGAATTGTCTGGTTGTGTTATTAGTCAGTTTATAGTTATCTGATATATATAGGTTACAGTGACTTATTTTTCAGATTGTATATATTAAGAAACTATCAGTAAAATAAGATGTTTCTCAACTCCACAAAATACCTGCAGCACATCTTAAATATATCTAATCAACTTCTGTTTTAGTACAAAGAGTCCTAACACAAAATTGATGCAGTTGTAGTCATGCCATTAGTTTTCTCTGTTGTTTCAAATTTTCACATATTGTTATTTTTACTATAGGTGTGGGTTTTGCTCATTGTTGAAGGCCATACAGAGAACTATACTATAGTTGTTTATATCCTCGTCCTTTGGTCTCTGATGGACAAAGTCTGTCACAAAACAATGAGAATAGCTCATTTGACTCTTTGGGTCAGGTGAGCTAAAAAAAAAACATTGAAAACAAGAATGTGTCCATAGTACACAGATGCCCCACTCGCACTATCATTTTCTATGTTCAGTGGACCGTGAAATTGGGGTCAAAACTCTAATTTGGCATTAAAATTAGAAAGATCATATCATAGGGAACATGTGTACTAAGTTTCAAGTTGATTGGACTTCAACTTCATCAAAAACTACCTTGACCAAAAACTTTAACCTGAAGCAGGACAGATGGACGAACGGACAAACGAACGGACGCACAAACCGAAAACATAATGCCCCATCATAATGCCCCTAGGTGGGACATAAAAATACGAACTGCACTGATATAAAAATAAGGAGATATGGGTTGATTGCCAATGAGACAATTATCCATCTAAGCCAATTTATACATGTGTAAAACAGCTTTTAGGTAACTATTGGCAGATGGCAGGTATGACCTTCTCTAATACATATAATCCATAATTATCTCAGTTCTGAGAAAAAATCATTTCTTTTATATAAATATCAAATTAAAAAAAAACAAACACAGGGTTAAAATACAGGTCAACTTGTCTGATCATGAAATCTTTGGGTTTTCCCTTTAATAAAGTCTTTCATTTAACTCTTCAGGATATTATACAACAGTCTCAAAGGAATAAAATGAATTATAAATGAAAACAAATCAAAACGAACAAAAAGGAAAAAACTGTGGAGTTTAAAGAATCTTGGTCCTAACAGGTAGACTGACAAACAAATAGTTTAAAATAAAAAAAAAAACTCAAAATATTACAGGATACGGTTAAATCTCAAACTCACAGTTAACTGTAAGATCTTCAACAATGATATTTTTATTATATGTACCACTATTTTTTATTCTCACAAATAGAGTGTTGAGGTAATGAATATTTCATAGTACCCAACAGTAATAATGTAGATCAGAAGTACTGATGATTTAAATTACAGGAATGTTAATCGACTTGATTTAAATTGTTACATTGGTTTCTGAGTAAGTATATTTTGGACATATTTTTCTTAAGGGTATATTTATAAGTTGTCAAAGTTCACATTAATACATGCATTAAATTCTTTATTTTCAGTGTTCACTTTTATGGTTACGTCTAATCATAATAACAGCCATGTATTACTATCAATTTCCATTTGCAAGACTTCATTTGTATATCATTTCTTTTGTTTTAATTGTTTAGTTGGGTTGCTGTCTTCTTCCTCTGTCTGATAATGGCCGCAATCAATGAACTGATAATACTTCCACAGCACTGTCTCATAGACATACACCCTATATCTCCTTTTATTTTACTGATTCTTTGTTCTCTAAAACTGCTTTTTCAGGGTACGAAAAAACAACTGTAAACTACATTTTTTACTACTACCGTTGGACAAATTGTTCAATCCATTGATGAACTGAATTTATCATGATAATCTGCAAGGGCATGTATTTTTTTGACCAATCAGACAACATGAAATCTTCACTGCTATTTATATATTTACTTACTGTCGTCATCAAAATAATACACATCAGAACTAGGATCTTCAATAAGAGTACAGTCTATAAGTGGAATCTTTCCATAGTGCTAAAAACAGACAAAACAATAAAATAACCAAACAAGAAAACATATGCTTTCTTGCAAATACCGGACAAAATCAAAGCATCATCTGGCATAGTCAACTGGAAACTTATTCCAGACCACCAAAAAGTGTGGGACAATTACAACAGATATCATTAAACTGTTCAGCAATTTGTTTTCATGTGGTTAATTCTATTTCAATTTTATGAAGAGCTGCTTAAAAACACAAACAAAGCTAAGGTGGAAGTCGGTTAAATCTACAGTAATTTACCCAAGTATAGTTGAACTATTACTTACAGTATCTGGGTAATATTCACAAAGACATAAAAACCAGGAATTATTAGAATCCAGAATTACTTTGAATTCTGGAAAATTGATTAGATATGTATGATGAAAACTAACCCAATTAAAAAAAGGGTTGGGGGGGGAGTGGGGGGTTGAGGTAGATAGGCCATACTGAAATATCAGTGAAAGTAAATTGAAACTTAGTCATGCATGCATGGCTAACCCTCCATAGTTGGTTTAGTTTTCATCATACATTTCTTCTTATGAAATTTCAAGAATTCAAATTATTCCAGATACAAATAATTCCTTGTTTAAAGGTGACTTATGAACCATGAAAATGAGGTCAAGGTCAGATGAACCCTATCAGACACACAAGTACAACTTACAGTTATTCTGTCCCAAGTCAGGAACCTCTGGCCTTTGTTAGTCTTGTATGATTTTTTAATTTTGGTTCATTTATATGTTTCCGGAGTTTAGTGTGACGTCCATTTTTGCTGAACTAGTATACATTTTTGTATAGGGGCCAACTGAAGCCAACCTCCAGGTGCAGGATTTTCTCGCTGTGTTGAAGACCCATTTGTGGCCTTGGGCTGTTTTCTGCTCTTTGGTTGGGTTGCTGTCTCTTTGACACATTCCCTGTTTCAATTCTCAATTTTATTCACACCTTACAATCATTCCATGGATTGAATAAAGTTGACCTATTGCATATAGTATCTAAGAAACAAACTTGAACAGGAAAACTTAACATTGACCAATGAACAATGAAAATAAGGTCAAGTTCACATGATACCTGCCAGACAGACATATACACCTTACAATCATTCCAAACACCAAATATAGTTGACCTATTGCTTATAGTCCAAAAAAAAACCAGACCAAAACACAAAAAACTTAACATAGAGCAATGAACCGTGAAAATGAGGTTAAGGTCAAATAAAACCTGCAAGACTGACATTTACATTGTAAAATATTTACACACACCAAATATAGTTGACCTATTGCATATAGTATTAGAAAAACAAAACCAAAACACAAAAACTTAACTATTGATTATAGTATCTGAGATATGGACATGACCAAGAAAACTTAACCTTATTCACTGATCCATGAAATGAAGTTGATGTCAAGTGAAAACTGTCTGACAGGCATGAGGACCTTGCAAGGTACGAACATACCAAATATAGTTATCTTATTACTCATAATAGGAGAGAAATTAACATGAAAAAAAAGTAGTCACTGAACCATAATAATGAGGTCAAGGACAATGGACATATGACAGACGGAAACCTCATACTATAAGGCATCTATATATACAAAGTATGAAGCATTAAGGTCTTCTACCTTCTGAAATATTAAGCTTTTAAGTAGTTAGTTAACACTGCTGCTGCTGCCGCCAGATCACTATCCATAATGTCTCACTTTCTTTTGTTGCAGGCTTGACAAAAAATCAATGTTGACCAATAAAGCATGAAAATGAGGTCAATGACAGCAGACAAATGCAAGACAGAAAACCTTGACTATAAGGCATCTGTATACCAAATATGAATTAAGTTGCCACAATAATAAGATTTAAACATTTTCAGACCAGTAAGCTTCATCATGATATTCTGTAACATTTTAAATTCTTTGTAATCTTTGTGAATTCCTTTATTCTGATGCATTTACAATGTGTTCTCTCTTTTCAATTTAAAATATAAAGCCAGAAAAATAATTTTAATTCATGTGCAGCACTTCAGTAACATAAAAAAATTCAAGACAATTTCTATATTGCAAAATATAACATGCTTGTCATAACCATGCAAAGAACTAGTACATAATAATTCTTTTGACATTGTGTCACTTTGTGAAGAGAAGCTGACATTGTGCCACTTTGTGAAGAGAAGCTGACAGTGTGCCACTTTGTGAAGAGAAGCTGACATTGTGCCACTTTGTGAAGAGAAGCTGACATTGTGCCACTTTGTGAAGAGATGCTGATTGACATCTTGCCACTTTGTGAAGAGAAGCTAACACTGTGCCACATAGTGAAGAGAAGCTGACATCATGCCACTTTGTGAAAAGAAGCTGATGACATCAAGCCACATTGTGAAGAGAAGCTGACGACATCATGCCACTTTGTGAAGAGAAGCTAACACTGTGCCACATAGTGAAGAGAAGCTGACATCATGCCACTTTGTGAAAAGAAGCTGATGACATCAAGCCACATTGTAAAGAGAAGCTGACGACATCATGCCGCTTTGTGAAGAGAAGCTGACATCATACCACTTTGTGAAGAAAAGCTTACATCATGCCACTTTGAGAAGAGAAGCTGACTACTTCATGCCACTTTGTGACAAGAAGCTGACATCATGTCACCTTGAGAAGAGAAGCTGACTACATCATGCCCCTTTGTGAAGAAAAGCTGACATCATGTCACTTTGAGAAGAGAAGCTGACTACATCATGCCCCTTTGTGAAGAGAAGCTGACATCACTTTGTGAGAGAAGTTGACAGGCATTTGTATGATGTGCATTCCATTTATCTTGAGCTTCAGTTTATAATGTATGTATCATGATAATGTTAGTGTAGCAGGGAGTATGAGAAGATGGTGACAAGTGTTGTTACATTTGTAGTGGCAATACTGACAGTACATTTGAGCCAAATGTCTTATAATCAGGTAAGAGTCAAATAATGATCATATTTCAGTACTGACTTCCTTTCATGACAGAAAATACACATTAATTTACAGTCAAACTTTAATAACAAAAACATGACATTTAGTTAAACTACTCATTACTGTGCAAAATACAATTGAAAATTGCAGCATTCAAAACTATCTTAAATCACAAATGTGACTAAAAATCAAAATTACTTCAATGAATTTTAACATTTTTAATAGCATGCACTTTCAATTATTAAAAATTACAAATCTAAAACAAAATTTAAGACTGAGAAAACAATGTGTTAACAGCATATATGTGTACTTTCATATATACTGGTTTCTAGATCTGCTATCACAATATGTGACAGAAACTTGACCAAATTGTCCATTTTCTAATTACCACCTTCGTATTTTAGAATCTTTCGAAAAGGGAAATAACTCTTAGTTAAGACAAACTGTATCCCTGCCTCTACAATTAGCAATTAGAAGGACAAAGGTGTATTGTGTGGAATCTGACAATAAGTTTTATCTCTTATTTGAACTAAACATTTATGGTAAGAACTTGATTGCAGAATACGTAATTACACAGTGAATGTGTGTTTAAGCTTACACACATCAAAAACATCTAGACAAACAAGGATACATTCTCTACTGGAATTTTCAGTTTGTAATGCTCTTCAACTTCATATTTGATTAACTGTTTTGAAAAGAGCATAACTAATGAGTCATTAATAGAAGAAACATGTCAATGGTGTACAAAACTGAAAGCTTGGTTTCTTTGACGAGTTTGTACTTGACCAGTTTGTACTTGACCAGTTTGTACTTGACCAGTTTGTACTTGACTGATACGTGGAGCAAATTTTTAAACTTCCTGGCTCAAAAAGTAATTAACAGCCAGCAGGAAGACATGTCCAATCAGTCTTTATCCTTAAAGCCAAATGAGGTGTGATTAGCAGAGAAGCAGCAAATACCTCTTTTCAAGTCTTTGGTTTGACCTGGACAGGGTTCCAACCAATGACCTTCCGCAATCAATTTGTGCGACGGTACACACCGAAGTATGATGGTCCTTTCGATGAAGTGCGATGCTTTGGCATGATGCTTGAACATTGTGATGAGAGCAAGTTACATTTGATAGAATGAGATGGAACCTGCTTGTTTTTAATGCACTTGAACACTCTATATAACGACATGTCCTCCCACTTGAATTCAATATACTTAATCTGAGCCATCCAGTCTATCTTCTGACTCCATACTGCTGCATGCTAGGCTGAGAATTAAAATATTTAAGTTTGAAAGTCTTTGGTTTCACCTGACAAGGAATCAAAATCATCCTTTCAAATGCAAGGCTAGCACGCTAACCACTACACGATCACATTAAATGTTGTTCTTACTTCAGACCATTGCATTTTAGCTAGTACACACCATCACAATTCATCGTAATAATCAACGTCAACACCACAATTAGACCATCACACTTCAGCGTAACCAGGAACACACTTCAGCATAGCTACCAACAAGTTAGTGTCACATCGTCACCATCACACTTCAACCAACTCACTTCAGAGTGACCATCACGGTTTGGAGAACATTGCAATTCAGAGTCCTACATATATACCAAGGTTGATGGTTGTATGGCAAATAGTCTAGTCTGTATGGTGTTGAAAAATTGTTATCACTTGAAAATAGCTCAAAAGAATATGAAAGATTTTAAGATGAACTTACATGAGGAAATATTTGCATTGAATATAAAATGGTAAAACCAAAATAACAGTACAATATGGTCAATCACACATTGTGGCAAACAATCCTACCAAGTATAAAAGTTTTCTGTTAAATGTCTCAGAGTAGTTGTGGTCACAAGGTGTCATTGTGGTAGTATAATAGAAAATAGAAAAGTCCCAGAACTCCCGTAACATGGGCTGAATCAAAATGACAGTATCATTATACAACATATGGTGGCAAACAATCCTGCTAAGTATGAGAGGTTTCTGTCAAACAGTCTCAGAGGATTTGTGTTCAAAAGGTGTCATTGTGGTACTCCTGTATGAGAAGTTTCTGTCAAACACTCTCAGGATTTGTGTTCAAAAGGTGTCATTGTGGAACTCCTGTATGAGAGGTTTCTGTAAAACAGTCTTAGAGGATTTGTGTTCACAAGGTGTCATTGTGGTAATCCTGTATGAGAGGTTTCTGTCAAACACTCTCAGGATTTGTGTTCAAAAGGTGTCATTGTGGTAATCCTGTATGAGAGGTTTCTGTCAAACAGTCTTAGAGGATTTGTGTTCACAATGTGTCATTGTGGTACTCCTGTATGAGACATTTCTGTCAAACAGTCTCAGAGGATTTGTGTTCAAAAGGTGTCATTGTGGTACTCCTGTATGAGAGATTTCTGTCAAACAGTCTTAGAGGATTTTTGTTCAAAAGGTGTCATTGTGGTACTCCTGTATGAGAGGTTTCTGTCAAACAGTCTTAGCAGATTTTTGTTCAAAAGGTGTCCTTGTGGTACTCCTGTATGAGAGGTTTCTGTCAAACAGTCTTAGAGGATTTTTGTTCAAAAGGTGTCATTGTGGTACTCCTGTATGAGAGGTTTCTGTCAAACAGTCTTAGAGGATTTGTGTTCACAATGTGTCATTGTGGTACTCCTGTATGAGAGATTTCTGTCAAACAGTCTCAGAGGATTTGTGTTCAAAAGGTGTCATTGTGGTAATCCTGTATGAGAGGTTTCTGTCAAACAGTCTTAGAGGATTTGTGTTCACAATGTGTCATTGTGGTACTCCGGTATGAGAGATTTCTGTCAAACAGTCTCAGAGGATTTGTGTTCAAAAGGTGTCATTGTGGTACTCCTGTATGTGAGATTTCTGTCAAACAGTCTTAGAGGATTTTTGTTCAAAAGGTGTCATTGTGGTACTCCTGTATGAGAGGTTTCTGTCAAACAGTCTTAGCGGATTTTTGTTCAAAAGGTGTCCTTGTGGTACTCCTGTATGAGAGGTTTCTGTCAAACAGTCTTAGAGGATTTTTGTTCAAAAGGTGTCATTGTGGTACTCCTGTATGAGAGGTATCTGTCAAACAGTCTCAGAGGATTTGTGTTCAAAAGGTGTCATTGTGGTACTCCTGTATGAGAGGTTTCTGTCAAACAGTCTGAGAGGATTTGTGTTCAAAAGGTGTCATTGTAGTAATCCTGTATGAGAGGTTTCTGTCAAACACTCTCAGAGGATTTGTGTTCAAAATGTGTCATTGTGGTACTCCTGTATGAGAGGTTTCTGTCAAACAGTCTGAGAGGATTTGTGTTCAAAAGGTGTCATTGTGGTAATCCTGTATGAGAGGTTTCTGTCAAACACTCTCAGAGGATTTGTGTTCAAAAGGTGTCATTGTGGTACTCCTGTATGAGAGGTTTTTGTCAAACAGTCTCAGAGGATTTGTGTTCAAAAGGTGTCAGTTTGGTACTCCTGTATGAGAGATTTCTGTAACACAGTGACTTACAGGATTTGCATTCAAAAGGTGTCATTGTGGTACTCCTGTATGAGAGGTTTCTGCCCAACAGTCTCAGAGGATTTGTGTTTAAAAGCTGTCAGTGTGGTACTCCTGTATGAGAGATTTCTGTAACACAGTGACTTACAGGATTTGCATTCAAAAGGTGTCATTGTGGTACTCCTGTATGAGAGGTTTCTGTCAAACAGTCTTAGAGGATTTGTGTTCAAAAGGTGTCATTGTGGTACTCCTGTATGAGAGGTTTCTGTCAAACAGTCTCAGAGGATTTGTGTTCACAAGGAGTCAGTGTGGTACTCCTGTGTTAGAGATTTCTATTAAACAGAGACTTAGCGGAGTTGCATTCAAAAGGTGTAATTGTTACGATAAAAAAAATGGTCAAAAGTCCAATAACTACCATCAAATGTATCAAATCAAACAATATAGTATGTTAATATAACAGGGTCAATAAAATTGAGAATGGAAATGGGGAATATGTCAAAGAGACAACAACCCGACCCAAGAGCAGACAACAGCTGAAGGCCACCAATGGGTCTTCAATGCAGCGAGAAAATCCCGCACCCGGATGTGGTCCTCAGCTGGCCCCTAACTAAAATTATGTGCTAGTTCAGTGAAAATGGACGTCACACTAAACTCCAAAACATATAAAAGAACTAAAATCAAAAAACATACTAGACTAACAAAAGCTAGAGGCTCCTGACTTGGGACAGGCTAAAAAATGCGACGGGGTTAAACGTGTTTTGTGAGATCTCAACCCTCCCCCTATACCTCTAGCCAATGTAGAACAAAGAAACACATAGCAATACGCACAGTAAAACTCAGTTTAAAAGAAGTCTGAGTCCGATGTCAGAATAGGTAACAAAAGAAACTAAGCAAAGTGACAATGATACATAAATGAACAAAGGACTACTAGCAGTTATTGACATGCCAGCTCCAGACCTCAATTAAACTGATTCAAAGATTATGTCTTCATCATATGAAAATTAAGTACAATCCCTCCCGTTAGGGGTTTAGTATCATACCATCATAAAATATATAGGAAGAACATAACCCGTTTCATGCCAATAACTGGTTTTAGAATAAATGTGTTTATTTCTGATGCAAAGACCCTATGAGTGAATCAATATTAATACCAAAATATGCAATCCTTAAATGACTTGACAACAGAATCGTAACTATATCCTTTCCGAATAAGTCTGTTTAAAGGTTTGGTTAGCTTTTGAGGTGAATGTCGACATTTTTGTGCTTTGTAAAGAATATTACCATAAAATATTGGATGTGAAATACCTGAACGTATAAGATGTCTGCATGTTGATTTATATTTACGAATGTCCTTGTACCGATGATAAAATTTAGTAAATGTTTTGACTAGTTTGTGATATCGAAAACCCTGGTGTAATAATTTTTCAGTAATACAGAGATTTCTTTCGTTGAAATCAAATACGTTGTTACATACACGAGCGAATCGAACAAGTTGAGATATATAAACACCATAAGATGGCGACAAGGGAACGAATACATATACATATGATGACAGAAAATTCTATCAAGTATGATTGCTTTTTGCAAAACCGAAAAAAATCTTAACCCACAACTCTGGTAATAAACTGCTTCGCTGAGCGCAGCTGGATACGCCCGCAGAGGTCCAACCCTGAACAGTTGGGGCAAAAATGGACACAATATTCAAGCTTGATACAGGTCTGAATTTGGATTGTAATTAAATATTTGATACATTATAGGTTTCTGAATAAATGTAGTCAAAGAACTCGAAATTGGTAATATGAAAGATTTCTTGCTGTTGCGCAATACACTGTGCTGTTGCGCAATACTTTGTAAATCTGTTGTCAGACTATAAACAAATAAAATCTTATAACTCGGAAACGTAAAATCGAAAATTTATAAAAATCAAAAGGGAGCTTACAAAAATATATATAAACAATTTACCAAAGTTTCATAAAAAAAATGCTGAAAGCATTTTTGAGTTATTGTCCGAAAACTGGAAAATCTCCCTGTTTGTAATGAATAAAACCCCATAAATCGGAAACGTATAGTCTGAAATTTATAAAAATCAAAAGGGAGCTCATGTCGATAGAAATAAACAATTCACCAAAGTTTCTTGCAAATTTGGTGAAATTGTTTTTGAGTTATTGTCTGAAAACTGGAAAATCCCCCCTTTTTTAATGAATAAAACCCCAAAACTCGGAAATGGTAAATCCGAATTTATAAAAAACGAAAGGGAGCTCACGTCAATAGATATGAACAATTCACAAAATTCATGCAAATTGGTGAAATTTTTTTTGAGTTATTTTCCGAAAACTGGAAAATCCCCCCTTCTTTAATGAATAAAACCCAAAAACTCAGAAACGGTAAATCTGAAATTTATAAAAAAACGAAAGGGAGCTCACGTCAATAGATATGAACAATTCACAAAAGTTTCATGCAAATTGGTGAATTTTTTTATGAGTTATTGTCTGAAAACTGGAAAATCCCCCCTTTTTTAATGAATAAAACCCCAAAACTCGGAAATGGTAAATCTGAAATTTATAAAAAACGAAAGAGAGCTCACGTCAATAAATATAAACAATTCACCAAAGTTTCATGCATATTGGTTAAAGCGTTTTTGAATTAGTGTCCGACATGTTGACGACGGACGGATTGACAGACGGATGGATGGACAGACGGACAGACAGACGGTCAACGGTATACCATAACACGTCCCGTAAACAGGCGTATAATATGCGACCGCAAAAAATTTTTGCGGTCGTATGAAAAAAGGGTCCAATTCCCAAACTCAATAAAAGGTGTCATATCAAACTGACAATAGAGAATGGTCAAGAGATTATGAAGACAAATAATCCTACCAAGTATGCAAGCTTTCATTCAAACAGTATCTGAGTATTGATGTGTTTCGGACAGAGAGATGGGAAGACTGGTGGATATACTATTACAAAATGTACTATACCCCCTTGGTGTGAGCTAGGCCTGGGGGACATTTAAAGTAGATTATAATATAATGTCAACATTTGACAGAATTAGCACATAATGAAAACAAGTTAAATTAATTTTTCATGTATATATCATTTCATATCATTTTTTCAAACATGGTCTTTTATATTTTCATTGGCATAAGAATTACATAAATTTACATGCAAACACATTGACATTTATAACAATGACAATATTCATTTACAAACACATCTTGTTTTAATTACAATGTATTAATCTCTGAGATTAATGTAGTACAATGTATAAACAATAGCAAACAATAAATGTACTAGACTCCAAATCTATTTCAAATTCTTAGACTAACACCAACAGTCTTAACAGACTGTATTTCATTATTAGCAAAATTTACAATTGAAACTTTTATTATAAAAAAAACATATTTACATGCAAGTAATGACAACTGTGTTTCATGATCATGATAGGGTTTGTTTTTATCCACTAAAACTAAAAAATTCTATCTATAAGATTGCAACATCAAAGTTTGGTGATGTGAAATGTTTTAGACTTGAAAGTGTTAACTCACCTGATCACGGGAACGAGGTAAAATCTGCAACATTTTTGAGGACTGTAAGCACACATCCATTCATTATTTTATGTTTTAAAAGTACATGTACATTGCATTTCACTGAAGGCATATGAGAGACAATTGAGTTAAACTTCAGGGGGATATTGAAAAGTTCACGTGTGTGTCATATTGTTTGTATATAATCCACATATGTTATCTTTGAATGGATGATGATGGATTACTGTTAAATTTCCAGTCCCAAATTTAATGTATTTTGAGGAGATAACATGTTAATGTGATATGAATTATAAGCCCTGCATTATACTAGTCAGATTTTAATTATTAGTTCATAAGGTTACAGATAGCAGAAAGACATGTCACCCTACCTGGACACATCGTTCTGACTTCAGGCCGACCAGTCTTTGCTCTTACTCCTTAATATTGCATGCCTAAAAGAGAGGCAGCAAAGACAAATTTCTATGTCTTTCTTTTGACAAGGCCATGGTATAGTTGAGTTTCTATGCTTGTTATGTTTGTTTTTTTTTTTTAGTAGGATTATTTTTCATAATTGTATCAGTAAACCTAAACATAACACTAGGGAAATCTATTTGTCTTACAATTAAATGCTGATTGTCATCAAATTATCTCCCTTTGATCTTAATTCTTTATTCATTAATAATTCAAATCAATTTACAAATCTGTTCATGCTATTAAACTTAATTGGGATTAAGAACTTGAGGTTTGTAAAACAGGTATTTCCACAATTTTTTAATCAGCATTCAATGCAGGTACATATATAGTATTCTTCCCAAAAGTACCGATTTTAATCATTTATAGACATTCCAACATATTTTGTTGGTACGATTAAATACACATAGAAAGCTCAGATAGTCTTGAAACAAACTTCTCATTTCAAAGATTCCCTTTCCTTTTTTTTAATGGTAAATGCTGATTAAGTAATACTCCAAGTTACAAGAGATTATGTGATTATTATTTTCCACAAAAGTTGTTGATATTTAGCTATTTTTGTGCATAAATAAATTATTTTGTCTTTTTTTAGCTAAAACTGATGTGTTTGATCATTTCCTATCTATATCATCTAGATTAAAAAACAAAAACACCTTTACTTGGTATGCTAATATTTACAGCATGACCAAAATATAAATAGCTTTAAAGTGAACCTATTTTTACATACAAATCATTTTTGTTGGACTTGGATTTCCACACATCCTATTCAAACTTAAGATTTAGAGAACATATGTATTCATTAGCTAGGTACATTTCTGTATGGAAAGTTGAATGGAAGAACTGGAATATCATTATGATTATATATAAGCCTAGATTATATTGAAATGATCCTTGTCCCTATTTGAGAGACAGATAGATGAAAATCCTTGCAAATCTATAAAAAAAATCCTATAAAACCTTTGCATTATTTTAAAATATAGAATTTCACCTTAAACAAAAAGGACACAGATATCTGTATTGAACTTGTTATCAATTGATTTTAGAAATACACATTCAATCTGTTTCAGCAGTATTATCATATGGTGACAAGGTCGTTTATGTTTGCAAATAAATCTATTTCATTTCAATGTTTGTGATCTATTTCTGGTAAATTACATGTAAAACCTTAAGGGATATACTATAAATGATCAATGTTATGAATACATTTAGCAGAGGTTTACATAAGTAATGGCATACAATTTGCATGTTTACAAATCAAAATTATACATTATTTTCTCAATAATCAGGCTTCATATTCATCAGGATTTCTTTCATTGATTTTATGCAAGAAAAAATAATGGTAAAAGAGATAAATTTCTTACTTTTGCGAGATGGAGCCTTCCATTTGAGGCCCGTGTTGTCAAAAGCATATGATTGGTAAAAAGGAAGACCTGCCGTACCACCTCCTTTTTGGAATCCTTAAATGACGTACTCAAGGATCCTAGACGACCTCTGCTTGATTTGCCTTTTTCCTGTAAAATCTGCAAGAGTGGCCCTGAAAGGATGAGAAACACAAGATACGTTAACTAATTCAACGAGGTCATACAAAAACAGATTCCAATGACGGAAATAGAAGTCAAAAGATGTTAAACTTACTCTGAGCATGTGCATTTAGGGAAAAAAATGGAGTAACACAATGCCATCTGGTGTGTGAAATAGAAAAATATATTGACCAGATTGAATTTAATCATTAATATTATAATAATTATACTCATATACACATGTGTACACACAAACCTTTTGTCAATCAGAGTAACAAAAATATAATCACAAAGAAATTCAATATCATCCTGGATCAATACTCATTCCATATTGATCTGGGGTATTCAGCCATTAGTTCAAAGCAAATTAAAACAGGCAATTGACAATAAAACACAGGGTACCAGTGATTTAAGGCTAAATACAGTTCATGTATTGATTACTGAATTAATTTTTACCGCTATATTTACTAATCAATGGGCATGGCTTTCGGAGACAGTTGGAATTATAAATAGCATCTGTTTACATGCTGTAATAATTAAGAGGAAATATTTCATTGTTCCATCTGATATTATGAAAAAATGTATTCTTTCTCAACAGTATTATCTGTTAGTATGAAACCTTACTGATCATATATAACAAGCTCCCATATTAGCAGAAGACAATTTCAGTAGCAGAAGACAGTTCCCATAGCAAAGGTTGACATCAATCATTACAAGAAAGATATCTGTTCCAAAAATAACTATCATTGCCAATAATTATTGCTTTTTCAAGGAAAGCACAAGGAAAACAAGCTATTTTAAAATCAATCTGATTTTTAGCTCTGTTGATAATTTTTTTCTTTTCAATTATTACCAAAGAACACCATTTTTGTATTTATCTTAAACATTTAGATTTTAAATGATGATCCAATGCTGACAATAACTTAAAAACAAACAATAATAAGTGTGCTATTCCCTTTTATTCCCTAATATAAATTATATCCCATTTGTAAGAGTTACCTCCAATGTGAGCTGGTTAAAAAGACAATTCATTTCATTTTTTATTTTGCTTTGTGCCGTTGGATTTGATGCAAATGTCAAGTACTTGTATTATACTTTTACTGCCAACTGGACACCATTTTAAGATGCGTATGGTTCACTGATCATTTTTGCATTTTTTTAAGTTTCTATCTATATATTATAGTTTTCAATATAATAGGAAATAGCGCAAAAAAATGGTAAAATTCATCATTAAAGGGCAATAACTCCAGTAAGGAACCAACTGACAATTTCAGCTATGTTGATTTATTTGTAGATCTTTTCTTGTTGATGATTGTTGCAACATAAAGTTTATCGTCTATCTACTAGAATTATATTTTTCAAGATAATAGGAAAAAAATGAAAGAAAAATAATAAATTCGTCATTTAAGGGCAATAACTCCTACAGAAAGTCATCTGACAATTTTGATGTTATAGACAGTAGGTAGATCAGTGGTTTTAAAGATAATAGACAAAACTTGCATTTTTCCCTTGTGTTATTTTTAGCAATGTTGACAATATGAGTTGGCAGGGGGGGGGGGTCATCGGAAACATTTTTGAACTAGATACCCCAATGATGATAATGGCCAATATTGGTTAAATTTGACCCAGAAGTTTTAGAGTAGATGATCTTTGAAAATAAGTTCACAAACGATGGACAATGACAGTCGCCAAGTGATGGCAATAGGTCACACTGGCTCTTTGGGTCATGTGAGACAATGACAGTCGCCAAGTGATGGCAATAGGTCACACTGGCTCTTTGGGTCATGTGAGACAATGACAGTCGCCAAGTGATGGCAATAGGTCACACTGGCTCTTTGGGTCATGTGAGACAATGACAGTCGCCAAGTGATGGCAATAGGTCACACTGGCTCTTTGGGTCATGTGAGACAATGACAGTCGCCAAGTGATGGCAATAGGTCACACTGGCTCTTTGGGTCATGTGAGACAATGACAGTTGCCAAGTGATGGCAATAGGTCACACTGGCTCTTTGGGTCATGTGAGACAATGACAGTTGCCAAGTGATGGCAATAGGTCACACTGGCTCTTTGGGTCGATGGACAATGACAGTCACCAAGTGATGGCAATAGGTCACACTGGCTCTTTGGGTCGATGGACAATGACAGTCACCAAGTGATGGCAATAGGTCACACTGGCTCTTTGGGTCGATGGACAATGACAGTCGCCAAGTGATGGCAATAGGTCACACTGGCTCTTTGGGTCGATGGACAATGACAGTCACCAAGTGATGGCAATAGGTCACACTGGCTCTTTGGGTCGATGGACAATGACAGTCACCAAGTGATGGCAATAGGTCACACTGGCTCTTTGGGTCGATGGACAATGACAGTCACCAAGTGATGGCAATAGGTCACACAGGCTCTTTGGGTCGATGGACAATGACAGTCGCCAAGTGATGGCAATAGGTCACACTGGCTCTTTGGGTCGATGGACAATGACAGTCACCAAGTGATGGCAATAGGTCACACTGGCTCTTTGGGTCGATGGACAATGACAGTCACCAAGTGATGGCAATAGGTCACACTGGCTCTTTGGGTCGATGGACAATGACAGTCACCAAGTGATGGCAATAGGTCACACTGGCTCTTTGGGTCATGTGAGACAATGACAGTCACCAAGTGATGGCAATAGGTCACACTGGCTCTTTGGGTCGATGGACAATGACAGTCGCCAAGTGATGGCAATAGGTCACACTGGCTCTTTTGGTCGATGGACAATGACAGTCACCAAGTGATGGCAATAGGTCACACTGGCTCTTTGGGTCGATGGACAATGACAGTCGCCAAGTGATGGCAATAGGTCACACTGGCTCTTTATGTCGATGGACAATGACAGTCGCCAAGTGATGGCAATAGGTCACACTGGCTCTTTGGGTCGATGGACAATGACAGTCACCAAGTGATGGCAATAGGTCACACTGGCTCTTTGGGTCGATGGACAATGACAGTCACCAAGTGATGGCAATAGGTCACACTGGCTCTTTGGGTCGATGGACAATGACAGTCACCAAGTGATGGCAATAGGTCACACTGGCTCTTTGGGTCATGTGAGACAATGACAGTCACCAAGTGATGGCAATAGGTCACACTGGCTCTTTGGGTCGATGGACAATGACAGTCACCAAGTGATGGCAATAGGTCACACTGGCTCTTTGGGTCATGTGAGACAATGACAGTCACCAAGTGATGGCAATAGGTCACACTGGCTCTTTGGGTCGATGGACAATGACAGTCACCAAGTGATGGCAATAGGTCACACTGGCTCTTTGGGTCGATGGACAATGACAGTCGCCAAGTGATGGCAATAGGTCACACTGGCTCTTTGGGTCGATGGACAATGACAGTCGCCAAGTGATGGCAATAGGTCACACTGGCTCTTTGGGTCGATGGACAATGACAGTCGCCAAGTGATGGCAATAGGTCACACTGGCTCTTTGGGTCGATGGACAATGACAGTCCCCAAGTGATGGCAATAGGTCACACTGGCTCTTTGGGTCGATGGACAATGACAGTCGCCAAGTGATGGCAATAGGTCACACTGGCTCTTTGGGTCGATGGACAATGACAGTCGCCAAGTGATGGCAATAGGTCACACTGGCTCTTTGGGTCGATGGACAATGACAGTCGCCAAGTGATGGCAATAGGTCACACTGGCTCTTTGGGTCGATGGACAATGACAGTCGTCAAGTGATGGCAATAGGTCACACTGGCTCTTTGGGTCGATGGACAATGACAGTCACCAAGTGATGGCAATAGGTCACACTGGCTCTTTGGGTCGATGGACAATGACAGTCACCAAGTGATGGCAATAGGTCACACTGGCTCTTTGGGTCGATGGACAATGACAGTCGCCAAGTGATGGCAATAGGTCACACTGGCTCTTTGGGTCGATGGACAATGACAGTCACCAAGTGATGGCAATAGGTCACACTGGCTCTTTGGGTCGATGGACAATGACAGTCGCCAAGTGATGGCAATAGGTCACACTGGCTCTTTGGGTCGATGGACAATGACAGTCACCAAGTGATGGCAATAGGTCACACTGGCTCTTTGGGGTGATGGACAATGACAGTCGCCAAGTGATGGCAATAGGTCACACTGGCTCTTTGGGTCGATGGACAATGACAGTCGCCAAGTGATGGCAATAGGTCACACTGGCTCTTTGGGTCGATGGACAATGACAGTCGCCAAGTGATGGCAATAGGTCACACTGGCTCTTTGGGTCGATGGACAATGACAGTCGCCAAGTGATGGCAATAGGTCACACTGGCTCTTTGGGTCATGTGAGACAATGACAGTCGCCAAGTGATGGCAATAGGTCACACTGGCTCTTTGGGTCATGTGAGACAATGACAGTCACCAAGTGATGGCAATAGGTCACACTCGCTCTTTGGGTTAAATCAGTGAACTTTCGTATAAACTTGGGCATAATCTCACCAAGCTTATCAATTTTACAAAATGTGATAGATTTTAAATGTTTATTTTAAGCTTTTTACAGCTACAAACTGTTTGAAGTTACTTCTATTAAGACCTTGAGCTTTTACTGCAAGCGTACAATTATATTGTGACATGTAGATCTTCAGGTGTATGAAATGCACTAGTGTATTCCTTTTTCACACTAGTGTGTTCATTCTGTCAAAAAAATGTAACCCTACAGAAAGTATGTCAGGGAATTTTTACAGAGTGTATTTCTTCCAAAAAAGAGAAAATACACTGGTGGGAATGATTTACTTTAACATAACCTTATACCATACTCTTAGCATGACACAGTACAATACTCTTAACATGACACAGTACAAAACATCCTATCCTATTATACACATCAACTCTGACCTGAAATATGTATTTCACTCATGCTTTCACAATGACAAATTAGACCTTTATGCAATGAATAAAGACTTCTATAAATATTCTGTTTATCCAAACACCATCTCTGACTGGAATTCCCTACCTGAAGCAATAGGTATGTTGGACA